ATTTGAAATAAGTGTAGTATTATGTAAGGATATTACGCCTGGTTTATTTATTGACCAGGCGAACTCATTTGCATATTACGCCTGGTTTTCTCTGGACCAGGCGTACTCATTTAAATATTACGCCTAATTTTACGCCTGGTTTCCGCCTCAGTTACGCTTGGTTTCCGCCTGGTTTACGCCTGGTTGACGCCAGGACATGCATTCCTTACACACTGCAATGACGCCCGGATAAAGTATGATTTTTACGCCTGGTTTCCGTGTCATATACGGGCGTCACAGTTCGTACAGGAATTTCAAACAATTTTGAATTTTGTTTCTTACTAACCTGATTAAATGTGACCAACAAAGACAATTCTCATTGTCATTTTTTAATCCGCCCGAACAAGGCACGAGCTTTGATATTATTAATGATAATAATGGAAATTAAAAAAAGGACTTTGGTATGACAGTAATGATTATAAATCATGTTTTTTATCTTTTGGAACACTTGAGATATAGTCTGGAACACATGGGATATAGTAGTACCCTTTGTTCTTGTGTCCTTCATACTTTTTAAAAATCTAACACGATAAATACTTTCCAGATTATGGAATATATAACAGTTTATATCGGAAAATTTAAAAATCACTAATCAACTATTTTAAAAGGAGTTATATATGCCCTTTATATAAAAAATTGCATTTTTAAATAAATGCTCTAAACCTACATTTCTTGTTGGAGTTGTATGAAATTTGTATCAGAAGTTTATATCAGCAATACCCCCCTCCCCAAGGGTGACTGGGGAAAAGAAATATGGTCACTTTGGTGTTCTTCCGACCGGCAGTAAAACCCTTGCCAACGTGTTGCACTAATACATCAAATTTGTATTTTTTACAGGGCTAACACAGACAACTAATACATTGAATTTGGATTTATTTCAGAATGGACCAAGAGAATTGTCTTGTAAGTCATGCACTTTGGAGGTTGGCTCCGTTGTTGGTGTCTCGGACGGGGTAGTCTGACAGTTCCACTACGTATCCTGCAGCAGTATAAGCCTTCTACCCAAGAGCTTATAAAGGGCTTCTTTGAGGACTTGATGGATAGACGGTCTCGCACAGAAATCTAATAAATATTATTTGGATTTTTTTCAGGGCTAACACAGACAACTAATACATTGAATTTGTATTTATTTCAGAATGGACCAAGAGAATTGTCTAGTAAGTTGTACACTTTGAAGGTTGGCTCCGTTGTTGGTGTCTCGGACGGGGTAGTCTGACAGTTCCACTACGTATCCTGCAGCAGTATAAGCCTTCTACCCAAGAGCTTATAAAGGGCTTCTTTGAGGAGTTGATGGATAGACGGTCTCGCACAGAAATCTAATAAATATTGTTTGGATTTTTTTCAGGGCCAACACAGACCACTAATACATTGAATTTGTATTTATTTCAGAATGGACCAAGAGAATTGTTTTGTAAGTCACACACTTTAAAAATTGGCTCCGTTGTTGGTGTCTCGGACGAGGTAGTCTAACAGTTCCACTACATATCCTGCAGCAGTATAAGCCTTCTACCCAAGAGCTTATAAAGGGCTTCTTTGAGGAGTTGATGGATAGACGGTCTCGCACAGAAATCTAATAAATATTGTTTGGATTTTTTTCAGGGCCAACACAGACCACTAATACATTGAATTTGTATTTATTTCAGAATGGACCAAGAGAATTGTTTTGTAAGTCACACACTTTAAAAATTGGCTCCGTTGTTGGTGTCTCGGACGGGGTAGTCTAACAGTTCCACTACATATCCTGCAGCAGTATAAGCCTTCTACCCAAGAGCTTATAAAGGGCTTCTTTGAGGATTTTTAATGGTAAGACAGTCTCGCACAGAAAGCCAATTAATGTATGATATGTATTTTTACAGGACCAACTTACATCTTTGTTTAATATAGTATTAATTATATTCAATTTTTTTTCATTTCAGAATGATGCTGAAAATCTATAGATCTGAGCAAGGAAGAATCCAGAGAACAAAATAAAGAAGAACAAACAAACATGAAAATATGTAGGGGGAATAATCAATCTGCCATTCTTAATTTAATATCTTCCCATAATTTTCAGAAATTTATATCAAAGGTTTATATCAGTAATGTATTGGACAAATTTAAAAGTCTGTGCTGATCAATTATTTATACATGAATTATGTCCCTTTAAAATGGACAATGAAAATTGCTTGGAAGTACATTATGAAATTTATATCAAAGGTTCATATGAACAGCAAGGTCTTGGATGAATTAAACAATCAGCACTTTCTATAAATTTTTAAAGGTGTTAAACACTTATATGGAAATATGCATTGTAAGTTATCTTGTGCATATATTTCTTGTATTTCATATTGAGGGGGGAGGGTAGGACCTTTATCGGGACTCCGGGATCGGGTGTTTTTAAGCTCGGGATTGATCTTTTCGGGATCCGGGAATTCTTTTTTCGAAATTTCGGGATGTCAGGATTTAAATTTTTTTAAATTCGGGACCTTGGGATTCCATGTTTTTAAGCCCGGGATTTCGGTATCAGGACCCCTCTTACCCCCCCTCCCCTATTGATGAAAAAATGTAAAAGAATTTAAAAAAGGATATTTGGGTTATATTGCCTATATATGAACATTGAAATCCTCTTTAATTCTGGTGAATTTTGTGAAGTATGTGATCTTACACATTTTGATTGATTGAATGTGTTATTTGTTTGCTTTACATCCAGTGGCAAATATTTTATATCTAGGACGATTAGCATGTTGAGCAATACAGGTTACTAAGAGAATTTACTTTTGATTTTATCATGTAGATATTGTATATTTGCAGGTGTATTTGTAGCAATTTATTATGAATCTTCATATTTCACAGGCACATTGGAGAATGGAAGAACGTACCTTTCAATAAGACTTCTTAGTGTACAACCAGGTAGCATGCATGGTAGCAGTAATTGGAAATTATCTGAAACTGAACAGTACTATACATCTTTCAAAATCTCAAGTATTAAATGGAAGCCCCAAAACACCAATAAGGAAAATTAATTTTTCTATATGTTTGTCCTATTTTTACTGCTCTTATTGTTGTTTAAGTTACTTGTCTACCACCAGACTGGCTGGTAAAGTAAAACCTATATGTTTGTCCTATCTTTTACGGTCTGTCACTCTGTTGGTTGTTTTAGTTTCTTGTCTGCCACACTGGGTTTCCCTATATCTTCTGTTCTTGGACTTGTTTATACGATATTCTTTGAAAGGGGACTGGCTATATTGCATTTACATGCACTGTCCATTCATTTACCAACAAGTATTTCCATCACTTTTCTCAGGTACAAATGACCAGAAGACAATTTATTTTTTGTCAGCAACTGATCATAGATGTGTTGTTTCTTGTGACCACATTTCAGATCATGTCAATGCATTACTCCCTGTTTTTGGATACACTCTAAGAAGGAAACCCTAGAAAAATTGGTGAAATGATTCAATTTAGAAATATTAGTACTAGAGTGAGCCTAATATCTTCATTTACATTTGGTGAAATATGAATAAAAGTATGTTAGAAGTCAATGATCTTCAATGAGGCAGCATCTCAATGACACAACCAAAAAAAAAATCAAGTTTACCACATTTGGGTAAACATGAAAATTTTGTTAAAAACACTAGTTCCAGAGTTAAGAATAACAAATTTGAATTCAGATAAAATTGGTTATATTGAAATTGTTTTAAATGATGATAAATTTTACCCCCCACCTTATTAAACCTTTAAAAAACAGTTACTCTTGTTAATAAAAAATCGAGATAACAATGGTGAATTGTCTCCCTTTTCTCATTTTTAGTTTCAATTTAATTGCTGTTAACAAATCTGAGAACATTTGCTTAACTGTCAGCTACTCCAAAACCTTAACTAGAATTTAGGGAAACTTTCAGAAAAAAATTAAATACGCAATTCCTTTTGTATAATTTTAATAAATGATTTTTGGGGTTCCTATAGCAAATATGGAATTTTGCATATATATCTACAATTATTTTCTTTAGATTTCTTTACATCTGTTTCATGGGGTAGGTGGGTTTATGGAGTGCAGATTGATTATGAATATCTACTCACAGTTAATCCATTATCTAAATTTCTAATACAAAACTTTATAGCAATAATGTTTAGAAGACAAAATTTACTTCTTACAGCTTTAGACTATATAATAAAATTATTGGTAATACTAAATTTGTTACAGTTGTCATCTATTTTGGCATTTATACAATAGATATCCAAAGAACAGTATGGTAAAATACTTGCTATCACTTCAAATTAATTTATAATTTTTCTATAATATTTTATATTGACCAACGCAATTATTATGAATTTTATGGCGTAAACATCCAAAATATTTTTATTGATGTATAAATGCCAGTGACAAATTTTCTAATTTAAACACACACATTTCTCTATATTTTATTCATTAATGAAAAAGAAATCAATTTCAAATATTTCACAAGTAAATATTTTGGCTTGACTCCTGAACATCGATCAACATCCTTTAATGATTTAGATAATCAAATAAAAGATGAGGGGTGTTATTAAGTCATTTGTTTAATTCTAAAAGTAATTTGGGGGGGGGGGGGGGGGGGGGCTAAATTCCTTAATGCTTTTTTTGAATTTGGAATAATTTGGATATTTTGTATAAATTCAGTCCTCATTGAATTATAAACTACATTTGAACATTATTTCTCACCATATAAATTATTTCTCACCATATAAAGGAAACTAGAAATTTGTCCTACCCCCTTTTTCTCCCCTGGAAAAGATGGGGAAAATTTAGGAGTAATGTTTGCTCTAGTAAATTTCTAAAATATTTTGGATGAAAAACATTATTTAGTCCTTATAAGGTAACAACATATGGCAATGTATAACTTACTTACATAGATGATGAAAACATGTTTAAAGTGCAATAACTGGGCTTTCGTTCATAATCTCTGCTCTTCTTTATTTTTTTGGGGGGGAGGTTGGGGGGACGAATAAAGTAAAATCATATATACAATATATTTTCTGAAAGTTTCATTGAATTCTGTTGAGGCCGTGTTGTATATTCACAGTTTGGACATCAGAACAAACAAAAACGCTTCATTTGGTATCAGAAGAATCCTCAATTTTCATTGTACGAATTATCATTGGCAGTACCATTTCAAATAATTGAAAGATTTCATAAATATAAAACGTAAAACCGAAACCTTCCAAAAAACTTATGGTAAAAAATTGTGGTCTGGAAACTAAAAATACTTTCCAAATTATAAATAGAATAACCCCAAAACAGTCATTATTAAACCAATGAAATCATACTTTTCATGAAATAGTAAAGTATCAAAAGCTTTGAATAATTTTGTTTCTAAAGTGTCTCCTCAATTCCAGTTTTTCGTGTTGCAATGAGCCTAACTTGTGTACAGTAAATTTATGCTAAATCAACCAAAATTAAACCTTTATGGGTGAAGACATTTTGTATGCCTTTTGGTTATTTTTGTTGTTGGGTTGCTGTTTCATTGATGTGTACCCTACATATCCTTTATTCATTCCATACAGTTCAGATCTGTGAAAATACCCTTTCAGAAAAAATGCAAAGGACCTGAACATTTTTGGGTAATCAAAAATTCTTTTTTAATATCTTACTAATTAAACTCTTCATGACTTTACCATACAAATTATCCCAGGTTTATGAAAAAATGGTCACAGTAAGCCAATCTAACTTAAAATTACCATCACATACCAGCAACATTCCTATTATATCTTTTAAAATTAACTTTGAATCCATAATTTCACGTTTTTTTTAATTCATTTTCAGCTGTATCCCATCTTGATAAAATTTGTGTTTTGGCTAAATATATCAATATTTTGATTAGAAGTTCGTATTCAATGCAAACATTAAATTTTGCCAAAATTTTTTTTTTAAGTTCGTATTTAATGTAGAAATTTTTGTATAAAAGGACCTAAGTTGTATTTCCCATGTCTAACCCCAACTTAGTAAATTCTGTACAATTTTGAAGAAAGAGACCAAAAAGTTCATGAAAAATATTTTCTTGATAATTGAAATTTTACATCCTAGCTTTTTTATGCCCCTGCCGTAGCGGAGGAGGCATTTAGTGTTTCCCTTGTTTGTCCATCCCAAAATGGATTTCTGTTCTCTACCTCAACTAAATTTTATATTAAACTTATACACAATGCTTATTACCACAAAACACAGATCAATTTCGAAATTGGGTGGCGTCACTATTACTGTTCTTGAGTTCCCTTTATCAACATAAAAATTGCTGAATTTTTCGTTTCCATTTTATACTAAAATTTAGTTTGCCTCAACCAAATGTTATGAAACTTATACATAATGCTTATAATCACAAAACGGTCTTAACTACGTGTATCCTGCATCTTTATGTGGAAGTTGACTCATGCATATTTACAAGCTGGGGCATCTGTGGCCTATAGACGCATTCTCCATTTATTTTTCATTATTATGTTCTATTTACTATTAGCAATATCATTTGATGTCCCATGTTTTTATTAAAGATTTTATTGGGTCTGCATGTGAAAACCTCTTTAATTACATGTATTATAACACCATTCTTAATATTATATTGCATTCACCTTGTGCCTTTGTCCATGTGCCCATTGACTCAACAAATATTTATGTCACACTTTTCTCAGGCACCAAACTAAAAAAAAACTTGGTCAGCAGCTTCACAGGGATGAGTTGTAAGGTGTGTGTGCTTTTCGGATGTGCCATTTGCATGCAGGCTTCCTGTTTTCCAAATAATTTTCAATATGTTGATTGAACTTGATTTGGTCCAACTTTGCATAAGTTCTACAAAACAGAATTATTCTTATATAGTCAGCAGCTTAGCAGTGATTGGTTATAAAGTGTGAGCCCTTTCAAGATCTGCTGTTTTCTGAAACTTCTAATTACCAAAAAATGTTAATGCTAAGCACAAAAACGCATGAATTCTTATTTCTTGCATAGAATTTGAGGGATGGAAAACATCAATTCCAAAGATGATAGGGAAAGAAGACATTTTTATGTAATTGGCACTTTTTATAATCTCTGCAAAAAGTTTTTTTTTTTTGTACCTTTAAGATGATACAGAAATTATGGAAAATTGTGGACCTTTTGGAATTCTATTTTTGATTAATTGAGATTTTTTAATTGTTGCGTTCATTCAGATTTGATCTATATATCATTTTCTCCAAAATAAAACCAACTGAAAGGGAAACTTACCTTTCAACCATTTTAAACATCTTGAAACATGGTCTTCAATGATAAGCCTAGATCATCAATTAAAAACAACTTTCATCCTGAAAGTTGGACTTCAATAATGAGCAAAGATCATCATTTTAAGCAAATATCATCATTTTAAGCTTGCATGAACTGAATATAAATGAGAAAAGATTTTAAAACGCTAAAATGAACTGAAGATTGACAATCAGGTTTAATATCTCCTAAAGAACAGATATTGGAACATTTTTCATACCAGTTTTGGCTTTTCTTGTTTTGTGATTAAAAAAAAATATTAGCCTTTATAACTGTAAAAAAAGTAATTTTCTTTTTAACTTTTAAAATATTGAGAAATAGAAAAATGTTTCCCCTTTTGAAATATTATTACTCTAAACATCATAACCTGGTTTTAAAGATTACATTACAGAAACACGCCAGAATTGTATACTTAAAGTACCTATTTAGTTTTCATTCACCAGAGAATTATATATAAATATATGCAAAATTGTAGAATTTTATGGCAATCTTTAATAATTTGACTGTCTGAACAATTGTGGCATGAACATGGGAGAACTTGAACCAGCTCATAAAAAGTACTGTGAAGTGAAAATAGACTATTCTAATAATGTCTTTGCCCAGATTTGAATTAATGAAGTGGAATGGACAAAAATTATGAGGATACCATTCAGAATTATAAGTGAACAATGACAATAGGAAACATTCAGATGAGGGATCCGACCAGACTTTAATAGACTGAATACAGATTTGACCAGCAAGTGACCAGTAATCATGTTGATAGACAGTGAGAGTAGGATATATACTGACCTCCAAGATGCACACATTACATCCTGGTCTGAAGATTGTACATGCAAAACTTAAGGTAATAAGTTGTGCTACTGGGTTTTGTTTTTTTCTTACCTCATTTACATATGGAATAACTGTCACTTTGAATACAAAGGTACCCTTTTTAGAGCATGTGAGCTATTGACATCACTTGGCGTCAGCAACTACAGAATCAATATCAACCAAAAAAACAAAAGTTTTGATTTTTTTATTCTGGTCAGTCAACAAACATGGCTGCTATAGCTTAAAATAGATCTTTAGGGTAAAATGCAGTTTTTGGCTTGTATCTCAAAAGCTAGAGCAGTTTGAGCAAAAAAAAAAAAAAATGATCAGCAGGTCAAGATCTATAAGTAACGAAATTTGCAGTTGAAACAATCAAATTTAAAGTTACTGACCCTGAAATTTTTTTTTTTTTAATTTTTCAGTTTTCGGTTATCTAAAAAACTGTAATAGATAAAGAGAAATTTCAAACAGCAAAAATGTTCAGCAAAGTAAGCCATTCAGATAATTCAAATGACCAAAAACGTTTATTGATTCCTTATAGGACTCCTTGCCCTAAACTATGGTTTTAACCAGTTTTTCAGTTATTTGCAGAAACTATGATGGATAGAATCTTTTAAAGGCATGTTTAAACACACTTGAAGGCAATATACAATAAACAGCTAAAAAATCATTGATGATAGATCTATACAAAAAAAAAATAACAGGTGAGCAATTCAGGCAATGCGAGCCTCTTGCTTGTTTCAGTATAGCAATTATAAGAATAAGGAGATTTTTTTTATGATTTCCAATGCAACAACTAGTTACGAAATAATGTGGATGTTACTTGTTTAAATTAATTTTGCATACACTGAGCATTAAAAAAAGAAATTTAAAAAAAGATGAAATACGACATTATATACAGTTGTTGACGTAGATGTATGCTAGAGCCAATACAATAATCGACAATTCCCCCTTGCTGCCAAGCAACTATAAAGATTAAATAATTTATTCTGATTACTGCCTTGTAATAAAACTAACCTGAAGGTATGGTAATGATTCCTCATCTTTTTCAGATTTCCAGTGGTTAATTCAAGTAATAATTCTCAGGAAAGTTACAAAGGACCTGGGAGCTTAATATAATCAACTTTAAGGTATGTAAACAGTAATATAAATCAAATTGAAGGGTTCTAGTTTAATGCTCTGTCGTACAATTAAGATTTTCAGTGTTAATCTCGACTAACACTATTTAGGTTTCTAATCAGGTTTTGTCTAAATCATTTAAAATTTGAAATTCAGAAATGTGGATAGCAAAATAATAAGATACAAGTTCTATGTTTAAAATCTTATTTTTAGGAATAGATAAATTTGTTTAAAAAGATGTATGAAGTAAAAATAGAAGCATATCTCCTTGTCCTGTGGTAATCCTCTTGGTTCTAAATATAGAAGTTAGGTCCAGGTTTCTTAGTATACGGGTCAAAAGAAATCCTTTGGTAAATGCTGCTTTCTCTTCTTACACACTGCTTTAAGGAGCAAGAGTAGAAAATGAATGATATATTAAACATTATATATTTTTGTGAATTAATCTTCCATGTTTTAAGACATTTTGTTTTCTGATTGTAGATTAATTGTGCTTGGAAATTCACAACAACTCTGATACAAAAGAAGGGATTTTGGATCAGAAGAATGCTTTGAAAACATTTGACAAAGTAACAATTATGCATTATATTAATATTTTTGTTTTGATGAACAAGAGTGAGAGAGAGAGAGAGATACAATTGTAATGATTTATTCATTTTCAACCAGTCAACCAGACATGTAAATAAGAAAAAATTCAGTTGGAATTTAGATCAAGGCCAACAGTTCTCCTTTAAATATAGTCACATTAGTTAAAGATTTAAATTAGTCTAGTTTGAAATAGTTCTTTTGTTAATGCAAGACTTGGATGTGACCAGTGAGAATTGTAAGGTCCTTACCATAAGTAGTCAGAGATTGCTCTGATGTCCAACCACCTGTTTTTTTTACTGGTTTGAGGCAATTTGATATCCAATATCCCCAACCAATTCCAAAAACAGGTAGTAGGAAGTCGGATAAATTTAGGACTACTAATATTGTCCTCAAATATGTTTCTATGTGGACACGGGATCCATTGGAAACATTATCTATTAGTAATCTCACTTGAGCATAGTTGGTTTAAATTGAATAAATCTTGAGTGGAAAGTGGAAAAAAAATTATATGTAATTGTTATAATTATTTAATTTATCACCACAGACATGACAAAAATAAATGTTGCATGTTTTTTTGCAGTAATTTTCAAACTTTTCCATGGAAACATCCGTGGTGATTAATGGAAAGACTGGCAGGCTGAAATATAGGGCAAGGGGAGGGAATACCCCAGCTTGCTTATCATTTCATACTGGTTAGTTTCCATGATAAAATTGTCTTATACAAATGTTGTACATATCAGATGTATAGGTTTTATAAAGTGAGTTGTTATTTGGAGCTCTGTAAAAACAAAAAAAACAAAAATGAAAAAAAGAAAAGAAAAAAAGAAAAGAAATACAAATGTAAACAGAGTTCTAAATTAATAACTTTATTGGGTGGTATAAGTTGTGGATTACTATTTTGGTGTTTTTATTTTATGTATTTGTTTTTAATACATCTGATAATTTTTAGGGGGAATACTTTGTACATAATTACTCTGGTGCAGGTGCTCTGGTGGCCATTATACATTGATAGACAGATTTTGATCACTTATAAATACATATATAAATTAACAGTATAAATTTTCTTTGTATGTGAGCTCTGTAATAAAAAAAGCTTGTAAACAGAGTTCTAGATCATACAAAAGGTGGATTGGTCTAAGATCGGTTTTCCAATTATGTTAAAATGTCATCTACAAAAATGCATCTGTTATGTGTTCTATTGGGTTTTGTGTGTCCAAAACTCCTTATGTATAGTTTCTTAGGTCCACCCACTAAATAGAATAAGTTTTTATGAAAGGGAAGGAGGTTGTTGACTTCATCTCAAATTCCTGGAAAATAAATGCTGATTCTGAATTTATAAAAAAAAGGTCCTCTTGTCCTTCGTTGACATTTGGTATATATATAAAATCTTTTGAGGCAGGTATGTAATCAGTTCATAGACAGGTTTTACTTTTAAAAATAAATAATTGCATCAGTTTCCATGGATATAAGTTGTCCTATCCCCTTAGTCCTGGGACTTCAAAGTAAATAAGTTTCTGATTAATTGGGGGTATTTATTGAATGCTACAAAAATATATAGGGTTCTAATGTAAACAAATGACACTTTTTTTTTGTTATGAGGTACTTATTTTTTTATTCTAGCTGGAAACAACAAACCTACAATTTATTTAAGACTTTTCTTTTATAATTTTACGAAAATACATATTCTTATTTCATCTGAAAATAGCCCATTTTTGACTAGGTTGTTTTAATATGTGGTAGAGAGATTTAAAAAATGTACAGATTTTTCATGTTAATTTTGACAATTATTTATCTATTTTTTGTCATTGTTTTCAAGTACATTTGCTAACTATAACCTGTTTGTTAGTTAATGACAATTGTATAAGTTAAAATTTCTGTAGAAATTACACACCCATGCTTTTTCCCTACAATATTATAATATGTGAAATGTATTTGCATGTTTGGGGTTTTTTAATGCAGGGTGTTTGTGCATGTAATTTTTGAAAATAAATTACTGTAAATTGAAACTGATTTTCTTTTGTTAAAAAATTCCATCTTTTGAAGAGTCACTCTGACTTATCATGCTTCGAGTGCAGAAGATGACATGGATTCATCCTTTGTTGGGTAAAACTTAAAAGACCTTAGAATATAATGATCCCCTACCTTAAGTACACAATATGTAGGAGCAAGAGCAAATATTGGTTGGCTTGTAGTCATAATTATGCCAGAGCATGCAATTCCAATAGATTTAGAGGTGTGCTTGTTGAAGGTCGACACAAAAAATAGACACATGATAGTGAAGGAAAGCCTTCCCTGGATGTTGACTTGAGAGAATCTTTGCTGGAACTTGAAACAGATGTTTGAATACATAGTCAGAAAGATCCCTATATAGATGTATTGTGTAGCCCAGTTGTCTAAGGTCAAGGTCACTGATACTGAAAATAAACCCATCAGGGTACAGAAGGAGTTTCTTGCAGATAACACTGAAATATCTTTTGGAATTGGAACCAATATAAAAATAAAGTTAGCAACTATTGGTGACCATTCAGTCAGAGCAAAACCCATACAGTAAAGCAATTGCCATATAAAAGATCCCAAAAAGACATGTAAAAAAATCCAAAATGATGATGGGATTAAACTCTTGAAAGAATCAAAAATAATTGGTGTAAAAAATGGGTATTTGGTGATTGATTGATTGATTGGTGTTTAACGCCACTTTCAACACTATTGTGCTATTTAATAGCAGTCAGTTTTTATTGGTGTGGAGGAAGCCATAGAAAACCACAGACCTTTGGTAGGAAAACTGACAAATCTAGTCAGTTAAGATCGTAATCAATTGCAAGGTTTTTGATGGACTCATGAACCTTATATTTGATTGCAACTAAATATAGATATAAGGTCACATTTAATGAGAAGAATTGCCATTGATTTTAAGATCATCATTTTCAAGACACAATTAACAGTAGCTGAAAGCAATGAAGAAAAAGGTTTACTTGTTAACCCAATATCTTATTGGGATTGGACCTTGATATATATATATATGGTCACATTAAAATTTTTTAGGTCGCATCTCAAAGCTAGGTCTATGTCAGAAATATTAGAAACAAACAAAAGTTAAATTGTGCCGAAATTGGGATTCTGTATGATATCTAAAAAATTGTACGTCAAGATTTTAACCAAACTTTGATATATGGTCACAATAAGTGAAAGGGAAATTTTTGAATGGAGTTCAAATTACCCTGAATCAAGCTTGAAGTCATAGTAACTAAAAACAGTGATATTTTTTTTTTTTTTTATCTAAAATGGTTTTTTTTCTCGCCTTGACGGAGTCAAAAAGCGAGACATAGGTATGCTGTTTCCGGTGGCGGCGGCGTCAACAATGTATTAGTTTAATTGTGATTAGGTCTAGTTCATGGTGAACCACTAGTGGTAGGTCAATGATATTTGGTATGCAGTTGTATTAGCATTGGCACATCTCATTACCATAGAGATTATTTGGCCCCACCCCTTCAGGCAAGGTCTATTGACTTTGAAACTTTTCATAGTTTACATGTATTAGTTTGTGATTAGGTCAATTTATGGGGAACCACTAGTGGTAGGTCAATGATATTTGGTATGCAGTTGTATAAGCATTGGCATATCTCATTTCCATGGAGATTATTTGGCTCTGCCCCCTTAGTCATGGTCTATAGACTTTGAAAATTTTGCTAAGTTAACATGTATTAGTTTGTGATTAGGTCAGTTCAAGGGGAACCATTAGTGATAGGCCAATGTTAATTGGTATGCAGTTGTATAAGCATTAGCACATCTCATTTCCATGGAGAATATTTGGCCCCACCCCTGATCATGGTTCATTGACTTTGAAACTTTTACATAGTTTACAAGTTAATGTTGTGTTTAGGTTTGTTTAAAGGGAACGACTTATAATAAGTCAATGGTATTTGGTATGCAGTTGTATTAGCATTGGCACATCTCACTCCATGGAGATTGTTAAGCCATGTACCTTCAGTCATGGTTCATCGACTTTGAATATTTGCATAACTTACATGTTAAAGTATTGCTATTTTAATTTCAACATTTGCATTATCAAAATTACAAAAAGGCGAGACATATCTCTGTGATATCAGTTTATTAAAGACAATAACTTATATTGGACTGGAACAATGTAACATCAACATGTCTAAATGTTATAGTACAATAAAAGTTTTGCGTAAGAAAAGCCACTTGGAAGGAAAATTTGGGCATAGAGGTATATTGGAACTTGCTCACTTAGATTCCTTATCTTTAATAAAATTATCAGATAATGTCTGATAATTGTCATACTGCGTCAATATTTTACTTTCATGAAGAAACAAAAAGGATTTCACTAAAAGTAACAAACCGTCCTGTTTGCACTGTTGTACGAGTATCCATTGGAAACCTATTTTAAAGGAAAATGCTTCACAAAATTTATATATATATACAGCTCCTGTGCGAAAAAATAATTTTTTATAATTTTTTATAATATAATTTAGCATATACATGTATATTAAAATTTTGTCAATTACTCATCAGATTTGTATATTTGGCTAGTTTAAGGTGTAATTTGGACTTCAATAATGAGCACAAATCATCATTTACAAAATATGAACTGAACATCTATATTGAAAGTTGGAGTTTTATGATGAACAAAAGAAAAGCTAAAAGGAATTGAAGATTTGACAGTCCGGTTTAATATTTATAATGGGCCCTGTAGCCCTCATGTAGGATTCCGGAGCCCTATAGTTTCTACTTTATTCACCTGTCCAACTGTCTGTTAACAATTTTTGTAAACATAAACTCCAAAAGTATAGGTAGAAGGCTATTGAAATTTTGCACAGTTGTACATTAAATAAACAAATATGCATATTATATTTTGGTGAAATTTGGATTATAACTGATTTTGGAAAAATTACTTACTTTTAGTTTTAAAATCACAACATAAATTTTGAGACACTTCTTTCAGTGCTAGGATTACAATGAAAATTTATATATTGGTATAATATACTATTCCAAATGATTCCATGTGAAAAATTTGCATCAAAAACTTGTTTTGGTTCAAAATTTATGGAATTCTTATCTGTCGGACATCTTTTTCAATTAAGGTTGCATTGTTTTGTTTGCATCAGTATAAATTATTTGCTTTTGTGACTCTGTGCCTTACTCAAATATACCAGTGGGCCCTTACTTACATGTTAGTTTTCTAGTTGCTAATAGAGAACAAAAATTAGAATTTTTTTTTTTCTTTCCAGTTTTTGCTATTTGTGTTTTAAATTTGTTATAAGTTTTAATGTACGTAACTCATTTTCTGAATATTTGTAAATTTTCAAATTTTGAGAAGTAGAAATATTTTCTTTTTGAAATATGAATGATTTAAACATTATAAATTGTTTTTAAAGAAGACAATTTTGAAACGCACTAGAGTTGTAGACTTATTCATGAATAAAAAAATCTGTTTTTTGGTCACAGAAGAATGTTTTTTAATATCAAAATTGTCTAATTTTTTGGACAACTTAAAAATATCTTGTTAAAAAATTGAGAGAACAAGTACTCAATTGCTTAATTTATTAAATGATTTCATAAAGGTAATCTTTTAAAAGTTACAAATTTCATTCGAAGAGAGAATTAATTTGATCTTTATAGATATATATATATATATATATATATAAATCTAAACAAATAACTGATTTTTGTCAAGCCTGCGACTTTTGTCTTGCACACCAGTTGTAGACTTCAGTTTTTATAAGACGTCTTAGACTGTCTGAAATTGATCATTATTTAAAAAGAATATATTTTTAGACGTATGAGTTGTAAAGTTTCAATCAAAATCTATATTTATTGTCAGCAGTTTAACATTATCTTCACATGCTATTTTGTTCCCATTTAAGAGGGTGGTAAAGGGTTATTTTTGTGCAACGTTTTCGGCCTTTTTATTTCACGTGTTTTTGTGTTTTTACGTATTATTTCTCGTTTTCTCGTGTTTGGTTCGATGTGCATGCTTCGTGTTTCCCCTTATTTATTTTCCGTGTTTTGTGTCGGTACTCTTAATTTCTCGTGCTTGTCCTGCATTTGAATAATTGCATATTGTATATATATGGTATGTATTTAAATATCAAAAGTCCATCAAAATACTATGAATAATATTTTTTCAAATCAATTTCAACTAGCGGTGACCGCAGGGTCTTTATGTTCATTTATAATGACTGCATGATCTCTAAGAACGGCTGAGTAATAACTTCTAGTACCTTTTTCCTTAATATTTACGATTTTACTTCTCGTGCTTCGTTTTTCCAGATTTTTATTTTCCTTGCAACGTTTTTGAGATTTTTATTTCAAGTGTTTCCGTGTTAAGACCCCCCTTTACCACCCTCATTTAAGCTGGATGTCAAATCATATCTATTTGCCTGCAGCAGAGCAGAAATACAGGCCGTTACTTTATGCAAATTTGTATATTAATGACATGGTAATTAATCGTATTGTTTAACCGGAAGTTGTTATCTCCCTTTCATCGTACAGTTTTTGCAGACGAAGTTTTTTCCAAAAATAATTTAGAAATAATCATGACAGAGACTGGAGAATTACAAAATGCCTACAGTACATATCTCTTTTAGACAAACAGACTACAGTATCCACTCCATCACATGGGGACCAGTTTCCGCCAAACATGATGTTACTTTGTCCCTTGTCATCTTCTCTCGAGCTCCCAATTTTCAGTTTTAAAACAGTTAAAAGGGCAACACAAATTATAACAAAAACAACTTTTTAGGATACCTGACACAGACAATTGTCTCTGAAATTCCCCCCTATACCTTAATATAACACAAGTGTAACAGTGGTTAGATTCCGCCAGTGCAATTTATTTTTTTAAGGGGAAATATAAATGGGGCTTGGTATTTTTGGGGGTATTTGAATAAACTATTAAAAAGTAAAACTTGCTTAGTTGATTTATGTAAAAAATGGACAAAGTAAACTAGTGTTTTTGCTTTCGAGATGCTACGGCTATATATTTCCATGACGACGGATTGAAGTCCATAGGATGTGTCGGCCATACCGCCACAGCATCCATGGGACGTATCGTCCATTCCTTGTAAAGAGGTTACGTATTGTCCATACCTTAAGTTTTAATTCCAATGAGCATGTTGAGGTTATAACATGAAATATAATAATACAACACTACCCAATGTATGATTGTATCTACTGAGCTCAGCTTGGGTGCTGTGTTTTTAATTATTGTGATCTCGATTTGTATTTCCTGTACAATTTCTATACAAAAGCATAATTAATACTTATGTTCACCAAAAAAGAATAAATAATAATGAGCAATTAAAAATCTTCTTAAATTTTTTTTTAAATTAATCATATTCTGATTACATTGTTTTATATTTCAAACTAAACTTAGTGTTTTAACCATGACAAACTAATCTCCCATTTTGGATATTCATTCTCATTTGTTTTATTTTTTCAGTTTGTTTTACTCACGATATTAAACATCCATTTAGAAAATAATATAATTTTTTATTAGACATGTTAGATAAAACACATTTATGATATACATGATAGTATACATAATGCGTATTCCAAGTGTATAACAAATAAAAAAATGACAAATAATGTAAAAACATCACAATACATTTACAAGTTATAATAACCTTCTACATGTATATATCTAAATACTCTATAAATAAGAATTCTGAAAAAAAACGATGGATGACGCGTCTTCACAAAGTATGGACGATATTGTCCTATGGCAGTTACATCTTTTCAAGGTATGGCCGATACATCCTATGGAGGTCATGGCAGTACGGCCATCGCGTCCTGCATCAGTGTTTTTCATCCAAGAAATGTTCACACTAGTGTAAAGTAAAATAACAATAATACCAAACTCTGAGAAAAATTCTAAACAGACAGTCCCTAAGCAAATAGCAAAATCAAAAGCTCAAACACATCAAAGGAATGTATAACAACTGTCTAACAGCTGTGAATGGCATACAAACTGATCTTATTATTTTAGACTTCTCCAAGGCATTTGACAAGGTACCTCACAAAAAAATATTAAGGAAGATGGATAATTATGGCATAAAAGGGGAAATACCTGGAATTGGGTATCAGCCTTCCTTAACCCTTTCACCGATAGCTGCCCTGACAGAAGCTACTCTGAGACGATGGCTTCCCTGGTTATTGTGACACAAGTGGGATATCTTCACATTTAATATCAATAAAAACTTGTCTGTAGTTATTTATGTCTTTATTTTATTCACTTACACTATGGACACAGTTTTGTTTATGTTTTGAAAAATAATAAAATTTGCTATTATTCAGCATTAAAATAGATGAAATTAACGAAATTCAACTTTTTGACCCAAAATCATAAATTTTTAACTTGAAACGGTATTAGTTTGAAAATTTTAACAAGGTTGTAAACATTCCTTACACTGAACGATGTCCATTCCAAGTGTTTTGTACATAAAACTGTATTTTATGTAAAAAAAGTATACCAATCTGGCTTCAATTCTTCAAAATTCCTTCAAAAAAAATGTTCCCTTATTTCAAATTTCAGTAAAATCCTTAAATTTCATTTGATTTTGACCCGGTTTTCAACAAATGGAAGCTCCATGTTTACTCTTTCATCTGGGCATTAAACTAAGAAAGATATTTCGTGTTCCCAATGTTTTTCAGCGGGAAATGTAAAAGAGGAATTCCAATCCCAGTAAACCAGGACTCATTGTCAGCTGTCTGATGCGTGATTCATCGGTGAAAGGGTTAATAATAGAACCCAACAGCCACAGGTTGTCCTTGACGGGGAGGTATCTAGTCAAATGCCTGTGATCAGTGGGGTGCCTCAAGATTCTGTCTTGGGTCCACTGGTACTACTTTTCCTGATTTTCATTAATGACCTCCCTGCAACAGTAACATCACAAACACGCCTGTTCGCAGATGACTGTATTTTAAACAGAACAATTACAAATCATCAAGATTGTACCATCCTACAAAATTATACCTAAACTGCCTAGCCAAATGGGAACAAATTCCACAAAGAAAAATTGCAATGCTCTCACTGTAACAAGATCACAGTCACCATTCAAACATTACTGTATTAAAAGGCCGCATTTTAGAATCCGTCAACACTGCAAAATATCTTGGTATCACCTTATCTAACAACATGTCATGGGATACCCATATTAACAACATCACTGCTAAAGCAAATAAGATCTTGGGCTTTTTAAAAAGAAATTTAAAAATAACCCGGAAGAAACAAAAAGTTTGGCTTACAAATCTATGATACGATTGGTCTATCAAACCTAGAATAGTGCTCTCCAGTTTGGTCTCCTCACTCCCAAAAACAAAGAAACAACATGGAAAAAGTACAAAGAAGGGCAGCACGCTACGTCACCAACAGGTACCATAACACCAGTAGTGTCACTTCCATGATTGACCATCTTAAATGGAAGTCACTTGAAACTCACAGAAACATCAATCGAATAACAATGATGAACAAAATCACATTCAAACTTATAGCTGTAGATCCTAACCTTTACCTTTCACCACAGCTAGTCAAAAACACCAGATTCACCAACTCACTTCAATACCAAACATTCAGCTCCAGAACAGATTACTTCAAGTACAGCTTTTTTCCATTCACAGCTGTACTGTGGAATTCACTTCCACAAAACATCATCAGCGTTAACTCTTTGGATAAATTTAAAATACTGATCCAAAGTCAGTACATTTAGATATCTAACCTGTTTGTAAATATGTAAATGGGTTTATTTTTTATTTTTTCACAAAATTATTTTTGATTATTGCACTCATAAATTTGTTGTATTTTAATAAGTGTCTATTTGCAATGCACCTACATATAGTCATCAAAGTGCTGATGGATCCTCATTCGATGTAAATGTAGATGTAGATGTAGAATGGTTAACAACTATGTTGTCGAGCCAGGAATGATTACACTAGTGCTTTTGTACCAGGAATGATTACACTAGTGATTTTGTACCAGGAGTGATTACACTAGTGATTTTGTACCAGGAATGATTACACTAGTGATTTTGTACCAGGAATGATTACACTAGTGATTTAGATCCATACATTGATGAACTGTTTTAGTACTCATTTTGAACATATGATAACACATTAATGCTTTATTAACGAATAAGATTCAAATATTTTTTCTAATATTAGTATTATATTAACACTCCTACATTTGTTGTCGGAATCTTTTGTAGCAGGCCTCCCTAACTCAGGCCTAAGTATGTCCTCAGATGTTCTATTCGGGCATATCAGAGTTAGTTGTCCCAAAAAGATTGGTATAAGTGTCAATTCAGTAGATGTGTCAAGTCAACTAGAAAGACCAATTTCTACTACAGTTAATAAGGCTATAAAAAAATCATATAAAGTTCTCAACAGAGTTCAAAATTTAATTCCGTCTGATTTGGATAGTTATTTTTCTAGTCATTTGATTACTAGTGAGGAAGAATTTTCTTGTTTCAGGGATAAGCCAGTTGAAATTTGGAAATAATATGTTTTATGTGTTTTAATTTGTCTATTTAGAATTGTCAACTATTTTGATAGTTTAATTTGTTTAGTATACCTCCTTTTTGTGAATGGGTGAACTTTTCTTTCACTCCAAATTAAATTTTATTCAACATGTTCAGTGGCCAAACACATTGTCAAAATGATTTGATGTATAATTTTCTTTCCAGTTGGAGCTGACATATTTTGTGAATTTCTGGAGGTGGCAATGCACTGTATACTTTATACCAGAGAACTTTACCCTGCTGGAGTGTTTGAAAAGAAAAAGAAATTCAATGTTCCTGTCAAAGTAAGCAAAGTACATGTAGTACCATACTGTGATTGTAAGTAACTACAATACTATACACATGTATGTAAAGAGCTATAAGCAATTTGGTATCAAATTTCATAAAATATGAAATAAGATGATGTGGTATGATTGCCAATGAGATTATTATCCATCAGAGGCCAAATGATGTACTATATCATCATGGTATATGTAAATAACTGTAGATCACTGTTCTGCCTTCAACAATGAGAAAAACCCATACCATATGGTAAGCTATTAAAGACCTTCCTTAATGACAAAATGTAAAACAATTCAAACAAAACAGAGACCTACAACAATTAGTAGATAGATATAAGAAGATGTGGTATGAGTGTCAATGAATCACTGAATAACAGGTTCCTGTTTTCAGACAGGCACATACAGAATATGGTAGAATTAAACATCTTAGCAATCACTCAATCCCCCCTTACCAAACACAGTGGGCTTACATCACAACACAAGAACAAGAAAAGGGATTGACTCATTAGATCAATACAAAGCCCCAAAAAACAATAAATAAAAAGACTAAATACACAAAGTACCAATACATGTATCAGAGTACAGGCAGTTATTGAAAAGCTTTTTCAAAGCCAATTACAACTAATTCATAAATTATGCTTCCAAGACTTAAATCATTCTGACAGTACACATCAAATGGATTTAGTGTAAAGATGTCAAAAACAGTTTTGATTAAAATGACCTTGTGCAATGCCAAAATATAAGTATCCACAGGATGTAGGACATAAGTGCTCATAGCTGAATTATATAGGAATCAATATTTGTTTATTGTCACCTGCGCAACGTGTTGGGGGGGGGGGACATAAAAAAACCAGGCGTCAGTTATTCTGTCTAGTCTTGTTAGCCCTCTCATTTGTACAGTTCTTGCCAGATTTTTATAAATCATATAACATAAGTTGATATCATCAATGTCTCAGACATTTTTGAAAATCAGTGCCAATCATTTTTATAAGAGTTATGCCCCTTGAAAACATGAATTTTATTGGAATTTGAGTTGCATCTGTTTTCATTTCTCCAAACATATTGATGATTTTTATGCCCCTGCCGTAGCGGAGGGGGCATTAAGTTTTACCCTTGTCCGTCTGTACGTACGTACATACATACGTCCCAAAATTGGTTTCCGTTCTCTAACTTTAGTTTGCCTCAACCAAATGTTATGAAACTTATACACAATGCTTATTACCACAAAACACAGATCAATTTTGAATTTTGGTGGCGTCACTTTCACCCTTCTAGAGTTATGCCCCTTTACAAATGGAAAATTGCTGAATTTATCGTTTCCGTTCTCTAACTTTAGTTTGCCTCAACCAAATGTTATGAAACTTATACACAATGCTAATTACCATAAAACACAGATCAAGTTTGAATTTTGGTGGTGTCACTTTTACCGTTCTAGAGAAATACCCCTTTACAAATGGAAAAATTGCTGAATTTTTCGTTTCTGTTCTCTAATTTTAGTTTGCCTCAACCAAATGTTATGAAACTTATACACAATGCTTATTACCACAAAACACAGATCAAGTTTGAATTTTGGTGGCGTCACTTTCACCATTCTAGAGTTATGCCCCTTTACAAATGGAAAATTGCTGAATTTATCGTTTCCATTCTCTAACTTTAGTTTGCCTCAACCAAATGTTATGATACTTATACACAATGCTTATTACCACAAAACACGGATCAAGTTTGAATTTTGGTGGCGTCATTTTTACTGTTCTAGAGTTATGCTCCTTTACAAATGGAAAATTGCTGAATTTATCGTTTCCGTTCTCTTACTTTAGTTTGCCTCAACCAAATGTTATGAAACTTATACACAATGCTTATTACCACAAAACACAGATCAAGTTTGAATTTTGGTGGCGTCATTTTCACAATTCTAGAGTAATGCCCCTTTACAAATGGAAAATTGCTGAATTTATCGTTTCCATTCTCTAACTTTAGTTTGCCTCAACCAAATGTTATGATACTTATACACAATGCTTATTACCACAAAACACAGATCAAGTTTGAATTTTGGTGGCGTCATTTTTACTGTTCTAGAGTTATGCTCCTTTACAAATGGAAAATTGCTGAATTTATCGTTTCCGTTCTCTTACTTTAGTTTGCCTCAACCAAATGTTATGAAACTTATACACAATGCTTATTACCACAAAACACAGATCAAGTTTGAATTTTGGTGGCGTCACTTTCACCATTCTAGAGTTATACCCCTTTACAAATGGAAAAATTGCTGAATTTTTCGTTTCCGTTCTCTAACTTTAGTTTGCCTCAACCAAATGTTATGAAACTTATACACAATGCTTATTACCACAAAACACAGATCAAGTTTGAATTTTGGTGGGGTCATTTTCACCATTCTAGAGTAATGCCCCTTTACAAATGGAAAATTGCTGAATTTATCGTTTCCATTCTCTAACTTTAGTTTGCCTCAACCAAATGTTATGATACTTATACACAATGCTTATTACCACAAAACACAGATCAAGTTTGAATTTTGGTGGCGTCATTTTTACTGTTCTAGAGTTATGCTCCTTTACAAATGGAAAATTGCTGAATTTATCGTTTCCGTTCTCTTACTTTAGTTTGCCTCAACCAAATGTTATGAAACTTATACACAATGCTTATTACCACAAAACACAGATCAAGTTTGAATTTTGGTGGCGTCACTTTCACCGTTCTAGAGTTATGCCCCTTTACAAATGGAAAATTGCTGAATTTATCGTTTCCGTTCTCTAACTTTAGTTTGCCTCAACCAAATGTTATGAAACTTATACACAATGCTAATTACCATAAAACACAGATCAAGTTTGAATTTTGGTGGTGTCACTTTTACCGTTCTAGAGAAATACCCCTTTACAAATGGAAAAATTGCTGAATTTTTCGTTTCTGTTCTCTAATTTTAGTTTGCCTCAACCAAATGTTATGAAACTTATACACAATGCTTATTACCACAAAACACAGATCAAGTTTGAATTTTGGTGGCGTCACTTTCACCATTCTAGAGTTATGCCCCTTTACAAATGGAAAATTGCTGAATTTATCGTTTCCATTCTCTAACTTTAGTTTGCCTCAACCAAATGTTATGATACTTATACACAATGCTTATTACCACAAAACACGGATCAAGTTTGAATTTTGGTGGCGTCATTTTTACTGTTCTAGAGTTATGCTCCTTTACAAATGGAAAATTGCTGAATTTATCGTTTCCGTTCTCTTACTTTAGTTTGCCTCAACCAAATGTTATGAAACTTATACACAATGCTTATTACCACAAAACACAGATCAAGTTTGAATTTTGGTGGCGTCATTTTCACAATTCTAGAGTAATGCCCCTTTACAAATGGAAAATTGCTGAATTTATCGTTTCCATTCTCTAACTTTAGTTTGCCTCAACCAAATGTTATGATACTTATACACAATGCTTATTACCACAAAACACAGATCAAGTTTGAATTTTGGTGGCGTCATTTTTACTGTTCTAGAGTTATGCTCCTTTACAAATGGAAAATTGCTGAATTTATCGTTTCCGTTCTCTTACTTTAGTTTGCCTCAACCAAATGTTATGAAACTTATACACAATGCTTATTACCACAAAACACAGATCAAGTTTGAATTTTGGTGGCGTCACTTTCACCATTCTAGAGTTATACCCCTTTACAAATGGAAAAATTGCTGAATTTTTCGTTTCCGTTCTCTAACTTTAGTTTGCCTCAACCAAATGTTATGAAACTTATACACAATGCTTATTACCATAAAACACAGATCAAGTTTGAATTTTGGTGGTGTCACTTTTACCGTTCTAGAGAAATACCCCTTTACAAATGGAAAAATTGCTGAATTTTTCGTTTCTGTTCTCTAATTTTAGTTTGCCTCAACCAAATGTTATGAAACTTATACACAATGCTTATTACCACAAAACACAGATCAAGTTTGAATTTTGGTGGCGTCACTTTCACCATTCTAGAGTTATGCCCCTTTACAAATGGAAAATTGCTGAATTTATCGTTTCCATTCTCTAACTTTAGTTTGCCTCAACCAAATGTTATGATACTTATACACAATGCTTATTACCACAAAACACGGATCAAGTTTGAATTTTGGTGGCGTCATTTTTACTGTTCTAGAGTTATGCTCCTTTACAAATGGAAAATTGCTGAATTTATCGTTTCCGTTCTCTTACTTTAGTTTGCCTCAACCAAATGTTATGAAACTTATACACAATGCTTATTACCACAAAACACAGATCAAGTTTGAATTTTGGTGGCGTCATTTTCACAATTCTAGAGTAATGCCCCTTTACAAATGGAAAATTGCTGAATTTATCGTTTCCATTCTCTAACTTTAGTTTGCCTCAACCAAATGTTATGATACTTATACACAATGCTTATTACCACAAAACACAGATCAAGTTTGAATTTTGGTGGCGTCATTTTTACTGTTCTAGAGTTATGCTCCTTTACAAATGGAAAATTGCTGAATTTATCGTTTCCGTTCTCTTACTTTAGTTTGCCTCAACCAAATGTTATGAAACTTATACACAATGCTTATTACCACAAAACACAGATCAAGTTTGAATTTTGGTGGCGTCACTTTCACCATTCTAGAGTTATACCCCTTTACAAATGGAAAAATTGCTGAATTTTTCGTTTCCGTTCTCTAACTTTAGTTTGCCTCAACCAAATGTTATGAAACTTATACACAATGCTTATTACCACAAAACACAGATCAAGTTTGAATTTTGGTGGGGTCATTTTCACCATTCTAGAGTAATGCCCCTTTACAAATGGAAAATTGCTGAATTTATCGTTTCCATTCCCTAACTTTAGTTTGCCTCAACCAAATGTTATGATACTTATACACAATGCTTATTACCACAAAACACAGATCAAGTTTGAATTTTGGTGGCGTCATTTTTACTGTTCTAGAGTTATGCTCCTTTACAAATGGAAAATTGCTGAATTTATCGTTTCCGTTCTCTTACTTTAGTTTGCCTCAACCAAATGTTATGAAACTTATACACAATGCTTATTACCACAAAACACAGATCAAATTTGAATTTTGGTGGCGTCACTTTCACCATTCTAGAGTTATACCCCTTTACAAATGGAAAAATTGCTGAATTTTTCGTTTCCGTTCTCTAACTTTAGTTTGCCTCAACCAAATGTTATGAAACTTATACACAATGCTTATTACTACAAAACACAGATCAAGTTTGAATTTTGGTGGCGTCACTTTCACCATTCTAGAGTTATGCCCCTTTACAAATGGAAAATTGCTGAATTTATTGTTTCCATTCTCTAACTTTAGTTTGCCTCAACCAAATGTTATGAAACTTATACACAATGCTTATTACCACAAAACTCAGATCAAGTTTGAATTTTGGTGGCGTCACTTTCACCATTCTAGAGTTATGCCACTTTACAAATGGAAAATTGCTGAATTTATCGTTTCCGTTCTCTAACTTTAGTTTGCCTCAATCAAATGTTATGAAACTTATACACAATGCTTATTACCACAAAACACAGATCAAGTTTGAATTTTGGTGGCATCACTTTCACCACTCTAGAGTTATGCCCCTTTACAAATGGAAAATTGCTGAATTTATCGTTTCCGTTCTCTAACTTTAGTATGCCTCAACCAAATGTTATGAAACTTATACACAATGCTTATTACCACAAAGCACAGATCAAGTTTGAATTTTGGTGGCGTCAATTTTACCGTTCTAGAGTTATACCCCTTTACAAATGTAAAAATTGCTGAATTTTTCGTTTCTGTTCTCTAATTTTAGTTTGCCTCAACCAAATGTTATGAAACTTATACACAATGCTTATTACCACAAGACACAGATCAAGTTTGAATTTTGGTGGCGTCACTTTTACCGTTCTAGAGTTATGCTCTTTTAGAAATGGAAAAATTGCAAAATTTTTATTTTCTTCTCAATATCAAGTAATTTTTAAAATTGGAGTTATCTTCCTTTGTCCATGATTATAGTTGAATCAACTACAATCAATGCTTTATACAATGCAATGTTAAATTTTGACTTCCACTGATAAAACAGAGATCAAGTTGAATTTGGGTAGTTTCACTTTAACCATTATTGAGTTATGCCCCTTTATAAATCGAAAGATTGCAAAATTTTTAGTTTCCATTCTGTAACTTAAGTTTGACCCAACCAAACATTATGAAACCTATACACAATATTCATTACCACAAAACTAAGATCAAGTACAAATTTTTTTGTTTCCGTTTTCTAACTTTAGTTTGCCTCAACCAAATGTTATGAAACTTATACACATTGCTTATTACTACATAATACAGATTAAGTACGAAATTTGGTGGCGTCACTTTTACCATTCTTGAGTTATGTCCCTTTATAAACATAAAAATTGCTGAATTTTTCGTTTCATTTTTCTAACTTTAGTTTGTCTCAACCAAATGTTATAAAACTTATACACAACCGTTCTAGAGTTATGCGTGTTTACAAATAGAAAAATTGCTGAATTTTTAGTTTCTGTTCTCTACTTAAGTTTGCCTCAACCAAATGTTATGAGACTTACACACAATGCTCATTACCACAAAACTCAGATCAAGTTCAAATTTGGGTAGCGTCAATTTTACCGTTCTTCAGTTATGTCCCTTTTTAACTATATGATATGCAAGCGGGGGCAACATCTGTGTCCACATGAGGTCCTATCCACATTTTTAGCTCACCTGACCCAAAGGGTCAGGTGAGCTTTTCTCATCACTTGGCGTCCGGCGTCGTTAGCTTTTTACAAAAATCTTCTCCTCTGAAACCACTGGGCCAAATTTAACCAAACTTGGCCACAATCATCATTATGGTATTTAGTTAAAAAAATGTGTCCGATGACCCCGCCAACCAACCAAGATGGCCGCCATGGCTAAAAATAGAACATAGGGGTAAAATGTAGATTTTGGCTTATATCTCTGAAACCAAAGCATTTAGAGTAAGTCTGATATGGGTAAAACTGATTATCAGGTCAAGATCTATCTGCCCTGAAATTTTCAGACAAATCTGACAACCTGTTGTTGGGTTGCTGCCCCTGAATTGGTAATTTTAAGGAAATTTTGCAGTTTTTGGTTATTATCTTGAATATTATTATAGATAGAGATAAACTGTAAACAGCAATAATGTTCAGCAAAGTAATATCTACAAATAAGTTGTCATGACCAAAATTGTCAGTCGACCCCTTTAGGAGTTATTGCCCTTAATAGTCAATTTTTAACAATTTTTTGTAAATTTTTGTAATCTTTTACAAAAATCTTCTTCTCTGAAACTACTGAGACAAATTTAACCATACTTGGCCATAATCATTATTTGGGTATCTAGTTTAAAAAATTTGTCCGATGACCCTGCCTTCCAACCATCATGGCTGACTTGGTTAAAAATAGAACATAGGGGTAAAATGCAGTTTTTGGTTTATATCTCTGAAACTAAAGCATTTAGGGCAAATCTGACAGGTGGCAAAAATGTTCATCAGATTTAGATTTATCTGCCCTGAAATTTTCAGATGAATCCGACAACCCGTTGTTGGGTTTCTGCCCCTGAGTTAGTAATTATACAAAAATTTTGCAGTTTTTTGTTATTATCTTAGATATCATTATAATATCTAATATCTAATACTATTAATTATGATTTTAACCTTATTTTACATGATTTCCAAAGCATTAGTAAATACAGATGAGCGACACAGGCTCTTGAGAGCCTCTAGTTTTTTTAAAGTTATTGCCCTTGGACAGGTTAAATATGTGCAACATGGAGCACAATGTTCTTTTATGTTTTGATTTATTAATAACAAAATTAATGTAAGTACAGATAAAAACAATATTCAAAGATCTTTTAACAGTGATTGATAAACATTTAGAATATGTTTTTTCAAAGGATAGTTAAGTTTACAGATATATAAACATGCTTTACTGTTTGATGTTTTTTTCACATCCATCACTCCTCAGGTTCATTTAAAGAATACTGTACTTGTACATAGGGTGTATTTTTAGTGAATCTTGTTTATGCTTCCTAAATGAGATATGAATAATTAAGCATTCTATACTATTTGATACTTTTTTTCACATCCATTACTCATGGCTTTCTTAGAGATTCAACAGTTCAAATTTTTATCATTTGTCATTATATGCACTTCTTTCAACATAGCTAAGTATACTTAAAGATACACAAAACAATGACATTATATATATACAGATGAAAACTCAAGTGGAAAAATCAAAATTAGTGAAAAAGTTCCAAATGTTCAATTAAAAATAAAGCAAAGTGGAAAGGGATTAATATAAGTTGTAATAACTTGTTTCCCAATCCACTATAAATAGATATGTTTAAACTAAAAATATATGTCAAAGGCTTTTATTTCTAACAAAATGCATGACATAAAGTATGGACTGTTGTCAAATTGTTCTAAAAATGAGGAGAAAAAAACATGAGTTTATTGATTTTTATGGATACATATTTAAGCATGTGTGCAAATAAGGTACTACTCTTTACAGAATCATAGATTGTTTGGAGGTTGGTTCATACCCATTTTTCTATGATTTAGTTTGGATTCAATAATAAACTTGTAGAACTATAAGTAAATTAGGAGGCTACAAAATACACACACAACATTTAAACTTTTGTCGAATAAATGAAAGTGATTTTACTTTCAAAATGGGTGATGTTTGGGTATCATCTAATCATTTTTAGTGAATACTGTCGATTCATTAATATTTGTGGGATATCAATTTTCTAGGTATATAGTGGGTTAACCTGAACTAGGAATTTTAATGTTCAAAAAGAACACACTTTTCTATAGGCATATATTCAGACTTTGGCATTACCACCAAATCAAATATGCACGAATATAAAAATTTCATAAGTTTGAAAAATTTGTACCCACAAAAAATAAATGAATCCTCAGTAATATAGCTCACTGTACACCTCATTTATGCTGTATTAATAAGATATAAATAATTTGGTTGCAGATCTGTGTCCATCCAGATGTTTTGTCATATGTTACCAACACTGTTGATAGCATTCGTCTGTTGCTAAAAGAAAATGGTGTTTTTAAGGTGACAGTTGTAGTTGTTACACCTGACCACAAGCCTGCTGAGAGATTTGTTTTTGAAGTGGCCAAACCAACACAAAATATAGGGTAAATATGATGTCAACAGGTCATCTTTGTTTAAAAAGTAATTCAATAGGGGAGACATAGTTTTATGATTATGCAAGTTGTCTTTTAAAATATATACAAATCTTCATTTTGAGGAACTTTACTTGAGTAAGTCTCATTTTTCACTCCCATTGGTGAAATGAAGTCAAGAACACATTCACTATCACTATATTTCATGAAATTAAAATGTTTTCTTTTATGACATAGAAAGTTTTAATTGACGGTGTTAAAAAAAATCCAATATGATAATTCTTCATAATACTCACAGTCATAATTAAAATATTCAACTAATTATTCATGTTCAAATATTGGTTACCGTTATTGACTGTAAGATATGACAGTCAGTTTCTGTACCCTTTACACTCAGTTAGTTATCACAAAAAAACAGTCAGTTCTAAGTACATTATTATTGAATAACTGTAATAATTTGACAAGAATAACTGTGTGGAAGAAAGTTGACAATTTTAGTCAGTTAGGGATTCAGCCTGCTATTTGCATTACATGGTTTTAGAATTAAATTGATTGATTGATTGATTGATTGCTGATTTCTTTGCTACCAGTTTTTCCTTGGTGGAGGAAGTGGAAGTTTCCAGAGGGAGGGAAACTAGCAAACCTAGTCAATTTAGATCAGGGTTGAAAAAAACCTGCCAGGTTTGAACTCACAACCTCAGTATTGACAGGCTATAGATACTGTAGATGAACTATTTAGACCATTCATTTATATGAAACAACACTCCAAATGAAATACACAGAAATAATTACATTACATTGAAGATTGTCAATGAGATAACTATCCACCAAAGTTCAAATGAAGTGTATGTAAGCAATTATAAGCAACAGTATGGCCTTCAACAATGAGACAAACCCATACCGTATAGTCTGCTATAAAAGGCCCAGACATGAAAAATATAAAAAATCCAATTGAGAAAAAACAAACGGCCTAATTCATAACAAAACAATTTAGGAAAAACAAATATGACAGACATGAACCAACAAAAACCACTGAATTACCAGCTCTTGACTTGGGACAGGCACATAAAGAATGTGGCGTGTGTTAAACTGGTTTGCTGTATGTTTCACACGAATCCATAATTTAGATTTGCAATTTTAATTCTAAAATCATTACACCAATGGATAAATCTTAATTCTTCTCTTTATAATTGCTAAAATGTCTTCAGTGATAAACTATGAAATAGGTTGCCTGTCCACAGCATTTGTTAGCACAGCAACTAACAAAAGCAGAAAAAAACAGGCAGCAACATGACATTCTAGTCTTTTGCAGAACAAGTTAAACAATGAATAATGTCTATCTACATTGTACAGTCATTACACATCTTATACATTATTGCCATATGAATTAACTTTAAAGATTGTAAAATTGATGGTCTGCCTACAAATTCTCTGGCCTCAAGCTAGGACATATTGTGCAAGTTTAATGGAAAACCAGGAAATTACAATAAACAGAAAAATCTAAGGAGCAGTTTATAGATGCAAAAAAGTAGTATTATCTCAAAATACTTTTCTGTTTTAGCAATGATAAATATTTGTATCGTCTAGAAGAATCATTGAGAGCATTCCTGTTAAAACTCAGTGTGACAGAGTCTTTATTAAAACCTTTACCTGAAGGTATATATATATATAAATATTTATATTTTTATAAATCCCAAATAATCAGTTGCACCTGTATGATACTCGTTTGATTTGTTTAGGGTTATTCCATTAAAATGTATGTTAGAGGGTAGGAAGGGAAGTTTAATTATTGAATGTGGGTCATGGGTCTTTTTTAAGTATGTGTCTATTACCATTATGCAAAATTATCTAAAAAATGGTTCTTGGTTGTAGGGATATTTTGAAAGTCCCGTCCTACCCTCCCACATACATTTTAATGGAATAGCCGTAATAGTAGTAATTGCCTTTAAAAATTTAGGATATAAAGCATCAAGAGCCATTTTAGCTCACCTGGCCCATTAAGGGTAAATCACAAATTTTACCATTTAAAACAAAATATGCATATTTTCTCAAAAATTATAAAAGACACAAACTTCATACAGAAATGATCAGGAAGACAAGATCTACAAATAAGTCATCATGACAAAAATTGTCAGACGACTCTTAATTAGAGTTATTGCCCTTTAATGACTATTTTTACCAATTTTTTGCTTTATTGTCTTATATCTTAAAAAATATATTAGATAAATAGAATCATTTAAAGGCAAAAATGATCAGCACAATAGGATCTATATATGAGTCAACATATCTGTAATCTTCAGTGGACTCAAAATTAGATTTATTGCCCTGCAAGGCCAGTTAAGATTAATGGATAGATTTGAATCATCACCTGTCCATCTGAAATTGTACCACCCTGATTCTTACTGATTACGGGAAGGGTCTGAAATATTCGGATTAAGAATAATAAGCCGTGTCAAAGAACGTAAATCGTGGTATGTCACAAATTTCAGTGATAAGAAAACAGTAGATTTTTGAATATATACAATTACTTTGTATTAGAATTTGGATTAATTGTGAATGATATCAAAAGCACCTTAATATTGGCACATCTTCTTATATCTATCTACTTATATATCTTCTTATGTCTGTCTACATATTGGTATAAAAGACAGGACAGGAATAAGAACATAGACACAAGATTATTTACACAGTTTAATTTCGGACTGTTTTTTGATTACATAAAGTTGGCAAACCTATACCAAAAACTGTCCTTTTTTGTTGACAAACATCAATCACCCTCTGTCCTCAAACATTAAACAACTTCTGCTTTTGGTTAAGTTCAAATTTTACATTGTTTGTTTATAACAAAAGGTAGTAAAAAAACTTAATATTTGCACCTTGCATAAAAGTCTAAGGAGAGTCATCCCTAGTATTTTCAATACAGTTTGAGTTTTCAATTTACCCAGTACTCCTGGTTCTCTTAAAACTTGTGTTTCATACCAATGCACATTCTTCATATTATTGGCACTATAAACCAAAGCTAAAAAGCAAAATACATGTGTGGTACAAAAAAGTAGGTAGTCTAAAAGATAGAATTTCTTCACAATTTTGCTATTTACCAAAAAAGTTTTATAAAGCAATTATAACAGTGGTTGCTAATCAGATAAATTGATTTTAGAATTTGAAAAAAATATACTGAATTCTTTATATTACAGGATTCAGTTAACTTGCTTTGTCTTGAACTCTTGAAATTTCGGATGAGTCGAAGTTTTCTCATGTTCCCATACTTTGATATAGATATATGTATTTTGACTCCTGATGAGTAGAAATTGGATGAGTCGAAATTTCGGTTGACTCAAACTAAATTTACGGTCCCAAGGTTAACAAGAGCATTCAGAATTCATTATTTATCTCCAACTAATACACATCTGTCAAAACATGACCTCTGGGAGTTTAATGGATTGAAGAGTTAATCTGACAATACACATGTAATTAGATTTCCGGTCATGGACCACTGTATTGATTTATGACATGACATTATTGATACATAGTTTCAGTTTATGAAAAATTATTTAAAATGTTTAAAAACAATTAATTGTAATCATACACTAATGAGCTTGGATGTATATAACATGGTGATCAGCCCAAAAACTACTCAATGGGCGTCTTTAATCTTTTTAGTTTCTCTTACAGAAAAAGATTGAAACAAAAGAAAATGAAAAGAAATCTGAATTTTCTAAAATCTCTTGTATACGAGAAAGAACAATTTTGACAACTTTAAATAACTCAAATAACGCTAAGATAGCTTTTAAATTACTCTCCCGACTAAGAGCCACAGGGAAAAATTGTAACTGTACAAAGAAATAAATAAGAGACACAAAATGTTATTATAATAATAAGAGACCATAACATCCATCAATCTGAGACCAGAATATCTACCCCCTTACCATATTCGTCCGGATTTATTTTAGCCTTACCAAGCTAAGCAAGAGTTGTGCCCCTTGGTCTGTCAAACTTCCGGTTTTCATGTGAGTCGAACTACAGGTATCTCGTTATATTTTTCTGGTCCTTCTGACATCGAGATAATAAGAGTCGACTGTATAATCTTATTATTACCATTGCATATGAAGATCACACTATGAAAGGGTTTCAGAGGAACTAAAAAATAAAATGCTCATAACCAGCCCATTTTCTTTCAGAAAACTAGAGAAAAAGCTACTAATTAATTTTAGTCTAATGACGATTTTTATCAATTTTTTGCCTTTTAGCTTATACCTTAAGAACTAAAATATATAGATAGAAACTTTAAAATCCAAAACTGATCAGTTAGACAAGATCTACAAATGAGTCAACATAACCAAAATCATTTGTCAACTCTTTATCGGAGTATTACCCTTTAAAATTAATGATTATTTTTTTTTACTGTTTTTTGCATTTTCGCTATTATCTTTAAAACTATTATAGACAAATAGAAACTTTAAAAAGGAGGATAAAAGCTATTAAGTGTCAACCTAATTGAAATTGTCAGCTAGCTCTTAATAGAGATATTCTCCTTTGAAGATATTTTTTACAAAAAAGTGGCCATTGTTGAAGATGTAGGTGAGCGACATAAAGTTGGTCCATAGATGCAGGTGAGCGACATAAAAAATAAAACTATAACTTGTTATCTGAAAATTGCAAGATGTAATGCTGATGATATGGTTTATCGACACACTAGTCCATGTTTGCAGTAAACTTAATCAACACCATACAGTTGCCAAAAATGGTCCACATCAGCATACACTCCAAAAACCCATTGTAGATGGGGGATTTTTTTGTTGTCTGAAGTCCAAGGGCCCTGTATCTGAGGTGTTGAGTCATTTCACAGTCTTACAACAGTGGTCCTGAGTAGGCTTCCTGTAGACATCTACTATTGTGTCTCAATTCATCTACGAGTATTGCATCTTTGTGATTAGCAGGCTTCCCAGCTGATCAACATGGCCCTGAAAATAGCCGTTGTGAGAGCAGTGCTGTTAACATCAAATTTCAAAATAGTCCAGAAACCAAAACAATAATACGGTTGTAGTAAAACCAAAATGGCTGTCTTCTTCTAGACCAACTTTATTATCAATAACTTAAATATTCTAAAGCTCACCAGTATGGGCTTAATAGCCAATCATGATAGTTTAACACGCATACCCAACCATTATAACTTTCTTTGAAATTATGATAAATAAATTGTTTTCAATTGTCTTAAGAGGGTCATAATATTTTATATGGGGAAAATAGTTGCACCAGACATATCGCTAGCATCTATATTTTGTTGCCTGATGAAATTAAAAAATCATATTTTACAAGATTAGTGCAACTTTGGTGAAGATTGATTTGAATGTGATGAAACAAAATTTGGCAGATTTGTCCATAAAAAACAGCGGTTTCTGGAAATTTGTTTTGAGACTTAGAAGGAAATTACCGGTATATACAGTTGTGATTTAAGAATGTTTGTACTTATTTAGTTGGTTACATTTCATTGTTTATTTCCAGACTGTACGTGGACTGTACAAGTGTATACTAAAGAGTCAGCTGCTTTAGCCATTGAACAAAAACAACATATTAAGGTAATTAGTAAATAGAACTCAAATAAACAATGGTTGTCATAATTATTTAAGAAACATTCTGGACAAGTTCATTATGTACCAATATTTAACAATATTAAATTTAGTTATTGATATGTAAATGTGTATATTTAGTAATAAATTTCTGCACAATTCACAATAAAAAAATCCCCATTCCTGTAGAACAAAACTTTTAATGGATAGGGGAATAACTTTTGAATAGTAAACATCAAAACCATTAAAATCGAACCTGTCCGGTAATTTATGGGCATAACTCTTAAGCTGTAAATTTGAAAGTCATTAAAATAAAATAAAATAAAACTGACTTGTACCTTATTAATTTTTATTAAATCCACTACTTTTTGTATGCGAGGGATTAATAACTGGTGGCAGCTGCAGCGTAAACTATTTGTATAAAGCTTTATATTTCATAGGGTAGAAGACCTGGATGCTTCAAACCTTGTATGCAGATACCTTATGTTACGAAGTTTCCATCTGGCATGTTTTCTTTGTCCTTGACCTTATTTTCATGGTTCAGTGACTGCTTGAAAAAAAAAGTTTTTTTAGCTCACCTGGCCTGAAAGGCCAAGTTAGTTTTTCTCATCACTTGGCGTCCATTGTCCGTCATCCGTCGTCGTCCATTAACTTTTACAAATATCTTCTCCTCTGAAACTACTGGGCCAAATCTAACCAATCTTGGCCACAATCATTATTGGGGTATCTAGTTTCAAAAATGTGTCCGACAACCCTGCTTGCCAACCAACATGGCTGCCATGGCTAAAAATAGAACATAGGGGTAAAATGCAGTTTTTGGCTTATATCTCTGAAATTTTAAAGCATTTAGAGTAAATCTGACATGGGATTAAAATGTTCATCGGGTTTAGATCTATCTACCCTGAAATTTTCAGATGAATCAGACAACCTGTTGTTGAGTTGCTGCCCCTTAATTAGTAATTTTAAAGAAATTTTGCAGTTTTTGGTTATTATCTTAAATATTATTATAGATAGAGATAAACTGTAAACAGCAATAATGTTCAGTGATTTTCCTGCCTTTATTTTAGGGCCGAATATCGGCCTTGTTCCCAATCAGAAAATACCTGAAATTTTCCAAATTGAACCCGTTAAAATTCCCAATTCAATCAAATTGTAGCGGAAAGGTTATTGATAATTTTATTCTTCGTAGGATTTGGTTCAAAATATAGGTTGTTGTACTGTTCCTGAAGAAAATCACGTTGAATATAGACAGGTAACTATCATATTTAGTAAACAGTTTTTACAATGGGTAGCTTAGTTCAGTATTTTGATGTATGGTGGTTAAAAGTAAGAATTTGGAATGATATGAAGTGATGATGCTCAATAGATGTGTTATTATCTGAGTAACATTGTAAATACATGCCTACATGAAAAACTAAAAGGTTTTCATTATTTTCTCATAAGTAAATTTTTACTATATGCTTTTTTGGCAATGTCGTACTGAGGGAAGATATGCCGGTCTGTTTTATTTTTTTGCTGTGAATTGAGCATACCCAAACAAATCCATGACAACTTACCCCACACCAAATCGCCCCACTTTCTAAAAAATCGCCCCACTCTTGTTAACCAACTCTCCCCACTTATGAAAAAGGGTAAAATCCCATTGAAAATAGGTCTGACAACTCGCCATTATGAAAAGGGTTAAAATCCATCTGAATGAAGGTCTTCCAACTCGCCCCACTTATGAAAAATAGATAAACCACGATGAATTTAGTCATGCCAACTCGACCCACTTATGATAAAAAAGATGCAATCCCGTTGAATATAGGTCTGCCAACTCGCCCCACTAATGAATAAAAGAATTAAACTGTACTGAATTAAAGCCTACCAACTCATCCCACTTATGAATTAAATGAATACTTTTGAAAACCTTAGAACTTGGTTTTTAACTCTTTTCTTCTGGTTGAAAGAAAGCAGAAAGAAGTAAGTATCAGCATTTCTGTGAAGTAAGATGTTATTGCCTATAGTAACTGTTTATGACGTTTGTTTTCTGGTAAATATAATCACTGTTTTACAAGAAAAGTCAAGAATCATGGGTGTATACATAATTTTATTCTCAGATGCTAGGTTTGCACAATAAGTCAATTATGACAAGCACAGACATGATTACACAAAACGAAGTAATAGATGAAATGCCAGTACATGTACTAGAAACAAGAACATAAATACACAAATATTGCATACCATAGATAAGTTTTCATAGGTGGGGCGAGTTGGCAGACTCTTATTATATATTCATCGGGAGTTTACCCATTTTCATAAGTGGGGTGAGTTGGTTAACCAGTGTGGGGCGATTTTTTTAAAGTGGGGCGAGTTGGTGAAAAAGTAGGGTGATTTGGTGTGGGGCGATTTGCCAGTGGGGCGAGTTGTCTTGCTTCCTACCCAAAACAGAGAACATGTCCTCTCATAATCCAAAATATTATGTTCACACTGAATTAAAAAAAAAGGGCAAAGATGCCACTGATTGTAAAAAACTTGATATATTTGGCTTTAAAAAATCCAAAATTATTACTGAAGATACTACAGGGACTGATATATTGAACGAAAATGTTTCTACTTTTATGGATGTAGAACAGGATGAAGCCGTGGTTGTGGAGGATAAAGGCACTAAAGTAGTTCCATTCTTAGGGAGTTTGAGAGTGACTATGTTCTGAATGGCATCATTTCCACATGTCTACCAACTTGTCTTTTACTCCCTATGTATAACAGTCTCTACTGCGGTAGTGGAAATAGTCTGAGATTACACTGACGTCCAACAGCTGTTTTTCCAGACAAGCTGGGGCTGTGGGAAAACAGCCGTTGGATGTCAGAGTAATCTCGGACTATAGTGGAAAGAACATTTAGTCTCCTGAATAACATTTACACAACAGAGAGGAATGGACTGATACAGGATCACCTGGATGCCATAATGAGGATTTGCAAAGAGGGCCCTGGAACTCTCACAGATGAAAATTTAAACAAACTGGTTGATATGTTCAAATTAGAACATGAAAGAAAATTGGAATTTTGAAATAATAAATAACATCATAACAATATGCTGAACACAATGATTTATTAATATCTTCCCAATTCATACGTTTTACAACACATTTTTCCCAATTGCCTAGGGCCCAGGCCCCATTTAAAAAAGGGTAGGAAAATCACTGATGTTCAGCAAAGTAAGATTTAAAAATTAATCAACATGACCAAAATTGTCAATTGACCCCTTTAGGAGTTATTGTCCTTTATAGTCAATTTTTTACAAAATTCTTCTCCTCTGAAACTACTTTGCCAAATTTGATCACACTTGGCAACAATCATCATTGGGGTATCTAGTTTAAAAAATATGTCTGATGACCTCGCCTGCCAACCAAGATGGCAAACATGGCTAAAAATAGAACATAAAGGGTAAAATGCAAGTTTTTATTTCTATTATTTTGAAAACCATTATAAAGAGAGAAAATCTGACAAGAGCAAAAATGTTTAGGATGTTGAGATCTACCAATTGTCCCTACATGTCAAAACTGTCAAATTACTTCTTATAGGATTTATTGCCCTTAAATGACAAATTTTTTTTTTCATTTTTGTCTTCTTTCTTGAAAGCTATAATATATACAGAGAAACTTTAAGATGATCAGCAAGACAAGTTCTACAAATAGGTCAACATGGTTGAATTCGTCAATCGACTCCTTATTAGAGTTATTGCCCTTTGATGATGATTTTGACCAATTTTTTGAGTTTTTGCCTTATATCTTAAAACTATTATAGACAGATAGAAAGTTAGCTAGACAAAATCTACAATGATCAACATGGAGGAAATGGTCAGACGACTCATTATTGAAGTTATTGCCCTTTAAAGACGATTTTCACCTTTTTTGGCGTTTTGTCATATATGATAGAAGATTATAATAGATAAAGATACACTTGAAATCACAAAAATGATCAGCAAGTCAAGATCTACTAACAAGTAATATTTTGCCAATATAGTTAAGTAGACTGCGACTCTTCATAGGAGTGATTGCCCTTAAATGAGGATTTTTTTTTGTCCTCTTTTGTGTTTTGAACAAAAACTAAATAAGATAAAGAGAAACTAAACAGGCCAGATGATCAGCAATACAGATTTTTGTCATGAATTCTATTCTTGTCTACAATGTTGGAGAGTGTCCTTTGTTGAATATGCACATAGACCAAGGTGAGCGACACAGACTCTTTAGAGCCTCTAGTTTGTCATGTGAATTTCTCTTTTATTATGAGTAATAGGATAACTATATTTGGTATATAGTAGGTTCCTTGCAAAGTCTACATGTCCGTCAGACAGAGTTCATCTGACCTCAACCTCATTTCATGGACCAATGATCAAGGTTAATTTTACATGATTGGGTCAGTTTTGGGCGCATGACATTTTAGCGAAATTTTTTGAACTTCTAGGGGACATTTTAGCACAGACATTATAGCCCATTTTAGCGCAGGAATAATCCGTTGACCTGTATTTTAGATAGCCCTTTTTAGGGCAAATTACCTAGGTAAATAAGACTCACCATACTAAGACCGTGAACAGTAATGTATGCTGGCTTAATGTTTTAGTTGTTTGCAATTAAATTTTGGTTCATCATGAAAATTATTGTTGTTAAAACAAAAAGAGGAAAGAAAAGTATAATATGTGACGGCTACCGTTATACGTTTTTCTGGATATTATCATCAAATTGCAAACAACAACATCAAAATAAGAAGTATAGATGATTGTGCACCTTAATCTAGACATGATAAAGGGGAGAAACAGTTCTTACTCAATTTTATGAACAATATAGCACAGGACAGTATATCAGGAGCCCATTACGTACGTTTTCTAGGAGATAAATTCCAGGCTAGAACGGACTTGTAACATTTGAGTTAACCTTTTAGAATTTTAGTGCTGTATTGTAATGAACATAATATTTTTATATTGTGCTTTATTAATTCTATTAAAATTTATTATTTATTATTTATGATATCTGTCACTAAAATTGGCATTGATAATTTCACTTTTCGCTAAAAAGGGGTTTAAAATCTTGCGCTTAAATGGGCATTGATCATTTAACTTTTCGCTTAATTGGGTTAAAAATCTTGCGCTAAAATGGGTTATACTTTGGCGCTAAAACGTCAGATTTTTTTCCCTAAAATGTTCTGTCAATGCGCTAAAATGTCCTCCGTCCGGTTTCTCATGTGGTGTATGGAATGATTGTAAGGGGTACATGTGAGTCTGGCAGGTTTCATCTTACCTTGACCTCATTTTTATGGTTCATTGGTCAATGTTAGGTTGTTGTGTTTTGGTCTGTTTTTTCAGTACTATAAGCAATAGGTCAAATATATTTAGTGTATGGAATGATTGTAAGGTATGCATGTCTGTCTGACAGGATTTATCTTACCTTGACCTCATTTTAATTGTTCATTGGTCAATGTTAAGATTTATATTTTGGTCTGTTTTTCAAATATTTATAGCAAGAGGTCAGCTATATTTAGTGTATGCAATAATCGTCTGGTGTACATGTCTGTCTGGCAGGTATCATATGACCTTGTCCTTATGTTTTGGTCTGTTTTTCAAATATTTATAGCAAGAGGTCAGCTATATTTAGTTTACCGTTATGCAATAATCGTCTGGTGTACATGTCTGTCTGGCAGGTATCATCTGACCTTGTCCTTATTTTCATGGTTCATTGGTCAATGTTAAGTTTTTGTATTTTGGAGGTTTGTTAATTACAAATAAAAAATATGCCATAAGTAAACTATACTGGTAATTGGTGTATCAAGTAATTGTAAGGTCTACATGTGTGTCTGATAGGATTTATCTGGCCTTTACCTCATTGCCATGGATCTTTAAAAATGTTAAGTTTTTTGTGATACTTTTTGTAGTAGATTACCTTTATCTTTTATAGGACTTTCAACATAAAAATCAATGGTCTGTAAAGCAGGCAAGACATTTAAGCATGTGCACTCTTGTTTTTATTTGATTTTCAACAAATGGAAGTGCCATATTATTATTTTTATTCAAGTAACAGACAAAGAAGAATTACTCAAGTTTACCATATCTTTTGACAGGAAAGAGAAAACTTGTATATCAATCCTAGAAAATAAATATTTATCAGTGAGAAGAATGGTAAATCATGGAGACATAGACTTGTTGTTGAAAGGCTTTTTGGTATTGGCATGCAAGCAACATAGTCCCCTAAGAACTAGAATTTTAAAGATCATTTTGGTTCATATAGGTACAGCTTTATATTCTTTGTCTTTTTCTTTAGTTATGCAATATACTATCAACATGCGATGATTACATACTATATACACTGAATGAGAATGGTTTTGTCAGCACTTTTACATTTATGTATGGAATAAACACGTTTTGAATTACAGGATTTTCCATGGATTCTGGCAGATGAAAGGGAGACAACTATGGAAGATCCTAAAATGATTCCATTAAAGGCTGTTAATTCAGATTACTTGCAGGTATAGAAATATGTGAATTAGCTTTAAATAATTTAAATGCAGAAACCAGGGAAACTGACATATTTTCAGTGTAGAAACGTGTTATTTTAATAAGATGGATATGATATTTGTTGAGGAAAAAAATTCAATTAGCTATTTAAAATTTTGATTATGTAAAAAAAATAGACCCCAAATGCATATTTCAACTTGTGAAATATTAAGTCAAATCAACACATATGAAGGACAATAGTCTTTTAATCAAGATATAATAAACTTTACATCTTGGACATGAATATCTTTTATAATCAAATGTAGGCATACAGATGTAATAAGTAACATATTTTGTAACATCATAACACAATATTATAATAATCAGTTAAAAACTCATCAGATGTGTACAAAGCACAAAAACAAGTAAGACACAATGTACAGATCTGGTAGTACTAGGGAACCAATTAATATAAGTTATTAACCTTGGCCACACTTTGAGTATAGTGTTTAGTTTAAATTATATCAAATGTTCCTATCAATAAACCATCAAGTGCTAAGATTATGGAACAAAGGGAGGAATTAAAAGTCAATTTAGGCAGGGGTGTGGAAATGCAAAGCCCGACTCGCCTGGCTAGTACATTTGAACAACCAGACAAGAAAATTTTTGGAACTAGGTTGCCAGTGGACAAGTAAAAACATATACTGGATTAAATTCAATTTAATCAAAAATATAGTTATTTTCACTACTTATGTATATATGTATTATTTTATGCAAAAAATACCAATGATCAACACATGAAAAACATATATTTAAGTTAAAACATCAATGTTCATGAAGACATATATGTATTAAAAAACCCAGAAATAGATTAATAACCAAAATAAAAAATAAGTATGTGAATCCTGGTCTCATAAACATTGGGTTAATTTTCTCCATTGACCCTGGTATTGTTGTTTAGATTTTATTTGCTATCTAACGACAGCCTTATTTTGATTTTTCATGATTAAGCTATATCGAGATGGATAAATATGTGATTAAAAAACCTTGACCGAGTAATCAAGACAAAAAGAATGAAAATATCAATGATGAAACGAAGAAAAAAAATATGGAAAAAGCAGGCAGAGAAAGACAGGGAATACCTCAATAAGAATTTCAGACGTAGTGGCTTACGAATTTCACCAGGCTCATCAGTGAAGAATCCTCTAAAAATAGATTAAATTGTTGCACAATTTGTAGAAACACCAACAACTTACTGATAAAGTCTAACTTATTTGTTGGCAAATTAATACATACAAGAGACACTTTGGTGGCCCATCAATGTTCTGCAAAACACCAAGCTTGTCAAATCAAAGAAAACAGTAAAATTAAATGGGTGTCTGAGGAAATGGACAAAACATTAGTTGCTGTATAGATTTTTTTTATTGTTTTTCATTTGGGTTTCTGTCTCATTGATGTTAACCCCATACCTTCTTTTATTAATACACATTTACATATCACGAAAATTATTTTTAATGGCACCATGGCTAAAAATAGAACATATAGGTTACTGGTAAAATGCTGTTTTTGTCTCCCAGCTAAAACAGTTAGAGCATACCTGATATTGGGTAAAAATAATCAGCAGGTCAAGATCTATTAGTAATGTAATTTTCAGATGAATCAGACAACCCAATTTAGAGTTATTGCCCCCGAAATATTTTTTTTTTAAATTTCTCAGTGTTTAGTTGTTATCTTGAAAGCTATTATCAATTGCTGAAAAAGTAAGAGCTACTAATAATTCTTTGAACGGAATTCATCAATTAATCACTTGTAGGATTTATTGCCCTTGAAAGATTATCTTTATTAAATTTTTAAGTTTTTTTTCCAGGAAATATGTGATAAATTAACAGAATCTTTAAACATCAAAAATGTTAGTTCATACCTTATAGGAGTTATGCCCTTGAAGGATACATTTTACCATTTTTATACGACCGCAAAAAAATTTTGTGGTCGTATATTGGTATGACGTTGGCGTCATCGTCGTCGTCGTCGTCCGGCTTCGTCGTCCGAAGACACATTGGTTTTCGCACTCTAACTTTAGTTTAAGTGAATGGATCTTTTTGAAATTTGACCATAAGGTTAAATACCACAAAAGGAAGGTTGGGATTGATTTTGGGGGTTATGGTACCAACAGTTAAGGAATTAGGGGCCAAAAAGGGGCCAAAAATGAGCATTTTCTAGTTTCCAGACAATAACTGTGGAACGGTGTATGGATCTCTCTGAAATTATACTACAAGTTTCCATACCACAAAGTGATGGTTAGGATTTGCTTTGGGGGGTTATGGCTCAAACCGTTTAGGAATTAGGGGCAAAAAAGGGGGAAAAACAAGGTTTGTCCTGGTTAATGGACAAATACTTTAGTACAAAACATAATTTAAAGCAGTGTAAGGGAGATAAATCAAATACATCATTGAAATTATCTCCCTTACACTGCTTTTAAATTATGTATAAAGTAAAGGTTAATGAACAATAAAGATAATTTAAAACAGTGTAAGGGAGGTAATCCAAATACAACGTTTTGGTTACTTCCCTTACACTGCTTTTAAATTATGTTTAAAGAAATGCATATTTATAAAGGAAGACCAGTAAAAATATCTGCAAATGTTGCATCTTTTTTTTTACAAAAAAATCCATATGAAGGTCCAAAGGGTCCAAAATTAAACTTTGTTTGATTTTAGCAAAAATTGAATATATGAGGTTCTTTGATATGCTGAATCTTAACATGTATTTAGATTTTTGATTTTTGGCCCAGTTTTCAAGTTGGTCCAAATTGGGGTCCAAAATTAAACTTTGTTTGATTTCAACAAAAATTGAATATATGGGGTTCTTTGATATGCTGAATCTAACCATGTATTTAGATTTTTTATTTGTGGACCCCGTTATCAAATTGGTTCATATTGAGGTCAAAAGGGTCCAAAATTAAACTTTGTTTGATTTCATCTGAAATTGAATTACTGGGGTTCTTTGATATTCCAAATCTAACCGTGTATTTAGATTTTTAATTTTGGGTCCTGTTTTTTAAATTGGTCTACATTAAGGTCCAAAGGGTCCAAAATTAAACTTAGTTTGATTTTAGCAAAAATTGAATTCTTGGGGTTCTTTGATATACTGAATCTAAACATGTGTTTAGATTTTTGATTATGGGCCCAGTTTTCAAGTTGGTACAAGATAGGGTCCAGTATTTAAACTTTGTTTGATTTCAACAAAAATTGAATATATGGGGTTCTTTGATATGCTGAATCTAAACATGTATTTAGATTTTTGATTATGGGCACAGTTTTCAAGTTGGTCCAAATTGGGGTCCAAAATAAAACTTTGTTTGATTTCAACAAAAATTGAATATATGAGGTTCATTGATATGCTGAATCTAACTATGTATTTAGATTTTTTATTTGTAGGCCCCGCTATCAAATTGGTTCATATTGAGGTCAAAAGGGTCCAAAATTTAACTTTGTTTGATTTCATCAGAAATTGAATTATTGAGGTTCTTTACTATGCCAAATCTAACCATGTTTTTAGATTTTTTATTTGGGTCCCGTTTTTTAAATTGGTCTTCATTGAGGTCCAAAGGGTCCAAAATTAAACTTAGTTTGATTTTAACAAAAATTGAATTCTTGGGGTTCTTTGATATGCTGAATCTAAACATGTGTTTAGATTTTTGATTATGGGCCCAGTTTTCAAGTTGGTCCAAGTTGGGGTCCAAAATTAAACTTTTTTTGATTCAACAAAAATTGAATATATGGGGTTCTTTGATATGCTGAATCTAACCATGAATTTAGATTTTTTATTTGTGGGCCCCCCTATCAAATTGGTTCATATTGAGGTCAAAAGGGTCCAAAATTAAAACTTTGTTTGATTTCATCAAAAATTGAAATATTGGGGTTCTTTGATATTCCAAATCTAACCGTGTATTTAGATTTTTAATTTTAAGTCCCGTTTTTTAAATTGGTCTACATTAAGGTCCAAAGGGTCCAAAATTAAACTTACTTTGATTTTAGCAAAAATTGAATTCTTAGGGTTCTTTGATATGCTGAATCTAAACATGTGTTTAGATTTTTGATTATGGGCCCAGTTTTCAAGTTTGTCCAAGTTGGGGTCCAAAATTAAACTTTGTTTGATTTTAACAAAAATTGAATATATGGGGTTCTTTGATATGCTGAATCTAACCATGTATTTTGATTTTGGACATTGGACCATAATAGGTAAATTAAAAAAAATTCAAGTTCTTAGACCACATTCTTTCTGTGTCAGAAACCTATGCTGTGTCAAATATTTAATAACAATCCAAATTCAGAGCTGTATCAAGCTTGAATGTTGTGTCCATACTTGCCCCGACTGTTCAGGGTTCGACCTCTGCGGTCGTATCAAGCTGCACCCCAGCGAAGCATTTTATTTTTTTTGTGTTTCCAAGAAACTATGATGGATAGAGAGAGACTGCAGACCGGAAAATCGTTCAGCAAAGTAAGGCCTACATATAAGTTGAATGACCGAAAGTTTCAATTAAGCCCTTATAGGAGTTATTGCCCTTGAAAGATAAAGTTCACCAAAGTTTTGATTTTTTCACAGAAACTGTGATAGATAGAGAGAAACTTCAAACGTCTAAAATGTTCAAAGTTACACCTTCAAATAAGTCAACTTGACCAAAATTGTTAGTTGATCCCATATAGGAGTTATTGCCCCTGAAATGATTTTACCAAATTGTTCAGTTTTTCACAGAAACTATGATAGAGAGAAACCTCAAACAGCAAAAATGTTCAGCAAGTAAGACTTATAAAATAAGTCAACTTGAACCAAAATTTTAATTGATTCCTTGTAGAAGCTATTGCTCATAAAAGGAGATTTTTACCAATTATTAAAGTATTTTGCAGAAACTATGAACTATAGAGAGAATCTTTTAAAGGCATGTTAATTCACACGTTACTATACATTAATCAGTAAAATATTCATTGATGCAAAATCCACAGAAATAATTTCAGCAAATTGAGCAATTCAGGCTCTTTATAGCCTCTTGTATTATATTCTATAATATTTATATTTTCAGATATGTAGGAAAGGTTAGATATAAGGCATTGATTATATAGATCTTTCAATTTATATTTTCAGATGCAGCTATATGCAGAAGAAAACTCAATAAAATAAAGCAGAAGTCATACAAAATTGTAAACAATACAGTACTTTGACTATGTGTGAAAACCATATACATACTGTATAGCTGCGTTAGTAGGCGTCACTAATTCAGTGGTTTGATAACTCTGTGATTATGAAAGTGTAAACTTTCAGTGATATATAATTTTCATCAAGCATTGATATGTATTCCAAATACTTGAAAAAGCTCAAATTTGCACTCCAGCAAATTTGTTTTTGTTGAACTATGTTGATCATGGCAATGTCAGACATTCGTTGTGGAGAAACTGATTCTGTGATGGTGGTTGACAAACTCTTAAATAAAGACTTCATTATCATTGAAATTGTCATTTTTTTAGCACACCTTTCCAAAGGAAATGTGAGCTTTTGCCATCACTTGGCGTTTGTCATCGTCCGTCCGGTGTAAACTATTTCAAAGATATACTCCTCTGAAACTACTGAACCAATTCCAACTAAACATAAGCTGAATGATCCTTAGGGTATATAGAATAAAGTTTGTGTTTTTTTTTCTGTTTCCTCAGAAAACATGGTAAAGATCTACAAATAAGCTTAATGAACAAAATTGTCAATTGACCCCTTAAGGAGTTATTGCCCTTTGAAGACAATTTTACACAATTTGCTTATCATGTTTTCTAACCTTAAAAAATCTTCTCCTCTGAAACTATTGAACCAAATTCAACCAAACTTAAACTAAATGATTATTAGGTTATCTAGAATAAAGTTAGTGTTTTATTTTCTGTTTCCTCAGAAAACATGGCCGCCATGGCTAAAAATAGAACATAGGGTAAAATGCAGTTTTTGACTTATATCTCAAAAACTAAAGCATTTAGAGCAAATCAGACAAGAAGTTAAAGTATTGAAGTTCTACCTGCCCTGAAATTATCAGTCAAATCAGATATCTGTTTTTTAGGTTATTGCCCCTGAATTGATGATTTTAAGGAAATTTTGCAGTTTCAGTTATTATCTTGAATATTATTATAGATAAAGATAAACTGTAAACAGCAAAAATGTTCAGCATAGGATCTACAAATAAGTTTTATATGACCAAAATTGTCAATTGACATCTTAAGGAGTTATTGCCCTTTAAAACAATTTTTCACAATTTGTTCATCTAGTTTGCTTACTTTAAAAAATCTTTTCCTTTGAAACTGCAGAATCAATTTCTGTCAAACTTGGGCTGAATGAGTTTCAGAGTCTCTAGTATAAATTTTGTATTTTATTTCCTTGTACATCAAGAAACATAGCCACTATGGCTAAAATGGAACATAGGGGTAAAATGCTTTTTTTTGCTTTTGAAGAAAATATGACCCTCATGGGTAGTCAAGGTCGTTAAAAACCACCCTCGTCATTATGGTCATGGTCATACGCGTATAATCCAAATACTCATATGGTCCGGAAATATAAATATTTTAAAACGTCTTCTGCATGTACAGGCCAAACTTTATGTGCGCACTACACAGAAGAATATAGTCTGTACAGCATCATAGTTATATACTCATTTACCCACAGCCTATAAGAAAAAACAACGTACAGCACTCTTAATTTAAAAGTCTACTATTGGTTTTATAGTCTTTCTTGTCCAAATTGGCAATCAGCGTCACATAGCTTCACAGTAAAAAGTCTATTTCTCATGTGATTTAAAGAGTACACGTTTGTACAAACAAAGCAAGCAAGCCAACCAAAGTTTGACTCTACAAGCATTAGGAAATCAGCTCTAAAACAAACTACAAGAATGTCACATCTACAAGTAAGAAATATTACTGATTGCAATAAAGGAAAAAAATAAGGCAGTGGCTATTTTGCCGGCTCTGATTAAAATATCTTAAATCAAGCGGAAATATGGTGAATTTGTGATTTTGTCGATTCCTGGTAAAAAGTGAAATTTAATATTTACTTTTGAAAAGAACTACGAAAATGTGCACTGCCAACATAAAAGAATCACATAATTGCTGATATACCAGTAGTTAAAAAAGAAAACAGCGAAGAATATTTGAGATACATATAATCGTTTAAAAATATTTATCAGTCAAAGTAAACTGAATAAGAATTAATAAGAAATAAAAATAAAAATATTTTGTTGCGATGATATCATATCAAACATGCAGTTGAAATTATTTCTAAAACCAGTCACAGTTGACACGGTCTAATACAACATGTATGCATAAGAACAAACTCTGAGATTTTTAAAATTGTAGTCGAGCAATTGTATGTTATAAAAAAATAAGATTTAAAAATCTCATTGCATTATAAATTTGATAAAACATTATACAATATAACAAAATCAATCACATAGCTTCAAAAATAAAAAAAAAGTGTTAAGTATATTTGTTTTTTTTAAATAATAGTCAGTTCTTTGAATTTCATATTTGTAAACAAAATAGTTTATAACTTGGCTTCTGCTTACTAAAAGCGGCAAAATAGCATATTTCTATTTTTTCAAGCGCCGACAACAAATTCACCATATTTTGCCGACTAAATATAAATCATGTTTATTATAAAATGGACAAAATTCTGATTTTTTTCCATGCGAAACTGGTGTTGAACAGGGAGAAATTCTATCTCCTTTTTATTTTCACTTTTTTTAAAGATTTTCTATGCAAAGAAAATGCGATTGGTCTAGAAACAATAAGAAAAGACATTGGAACAAAGTTAGATATTTATCTGAATCTATTTGCTATACTTTTCGCTGACGACACGATCATACTTGTCGAAACTGCAACTGATCTCCATATAGATATAAGAAGATGTGGTATGAGTGCCAATGAGACAACTCTCCATTCAAATCACAATTTCTAAAAGTAAACCATTATAGGTCAAAGTACGGTCTTCAACACGGAGCCTTGGCTCACACCGAACAGCAAGCTATAAAGGGCCCCAAAAATGACTAGTGTAAAACCATTCAAACAGGAAAACCAACGGTCTAATCTATATAAAAAAACTAGAAACGAGAAACACTTATGAACCATGCCTTTCTAAATAAGTTTCAAATGTATTGTAACATATGGGGACTAGAGGTAAATCTTGAAAACACAAAGATAGTAGTTTTTACAAAGGTAGATTGCAAAAAAAGAATTTGCTATTTAAATACAATAACTCAAATATCGATATTGTTAAAGACTTTGATTATTTAGGGGTATGTTTCTCTAGAACTGGGAGTTTTAAAACGTGTCAACTTCATTTGGCAGAAAAGGCCATTAACGCAATGTACGATGTGGTACGAAAAATAAGAAAACATAATCTTTCTATTAGCTGTCAACTTGTGTTAAACCAATTCTTTTATATGGCTGTGAAATATGGGGATATGAAAACATTGACATCCTGGAAAAAGTTCATTTAAAATTTTGTAAACTCCTTCTCCATTTAAAATCCACTACACCCAACTACGTTGTAAAAAGACGTTTTCACTCTTTGTTGATTTAGAACCGTAAATCACAAGCTTCCAATTGAATCTGGTCAATGGAAAAACATACCCAGAGAAAATCGACCATGTAACTTGTGTAATAGAAATAAAATTGGATATAAATTTCACTATTTTCTAGAATGTACATATTTTTCAAAAGAAAGGAAAGAATGTATTGATAGAAAATACAGTACCAACATTAACACCCTTAAGTTTAAACAGAGACATATAATACAATTGTATTATATGTCTCTGGTTTAAAGCAGTTATGAATTTTCAAAACAATGAAAACTTAAAAAGTTGTGTAAGTTCATTAGAATCATAAATTAAAAATGGATTCTCTCTGATAAAATGTAATCCTTAAAACCTATGCATTCTTCTCTATAAGAAGTCTTTATTTGCTGTTACCTCATCATTTGTCTTATAATATTATTATGTATGTCTATGTGTTTCTGTATACCATTGTATCAACAAAGGTTTTCTCAGAATAAATATATATTCTATTAACTGAAGTACGCTAGCTTTTTTCTCCATTTGTGCGCTTAAATGTAAAGTATATCAGTTTGGTATTAGAATCGAACAGCAACTGAAAAGAAATCGTCAGTATCCGAAAAATGTTTAATTTGTTCTTTTCAAGGATTCATGTTTTATCTTTTATATTTGGTAATGTGCATACGCCCGCCTCATTGTGTACCTTCAGACATGGAGCACACATTTTTTCCCCGAGTAATTTTGTTGATCGAGATAAAAGAGAAGAAGTCAACATACGAGGACGAAAAAATACAAATTTATTTATGACCTCTTTGGGCTGTCGTATAATGTATACTCCGTTGCTCTCATATATTATTCTTTTTCATTTCTTTGGTGTAAATATAATAATGCATCTAATTGTACACATAATTTTGCTTAAAATCAGAAATTACGTTAATGCTATAATTGTAAAACAAAATATCAGCATGTTTTTTTATAATATCAATCACAGATTTTTTTTTTACTGTATGTGTAATACCGCCAAATCATAGTATGTACGAATCAAAGTACTGAAGTACTGGATGGTCACAAGCATTTGTCTCAGACAACAAAATCACATCTCTATACTTAAAAGTGAGGTTAAGGTACATATATATATTTTTTTCTGAGACAAGTTCGTGCGTGGATGATAAATAAATGATAGGGAATTCAACCTCACCGTAATAACTATTATATTGTAGTGATACAAATCAGTATACTCTGGTTTGTTGTTATACATTATATTAATATTTGTATATAACAGTTACATGTATATATAATTTTCATCCATTTGTATATCATTCTATTCTAAGATTCTAATAGTAGTGCAGTGCAAGTGCATGGTGGACACTCTTCTGTAATAATTCAATTTTTCTAATAGATTAGATTTGAGTAGGCATTCATATTTTCCCGCAAAAACGTTCTTGAGATATTCTTCCGCATGTGTTAACACAAATTTTCGGTATTCTTAATTTGGTATTGATATATATATTTCTCACGACAAAATATTTTCATATCATTTATCTATGTTCTTAAAAACTATTTTCATGAATATTTATTGATGAAATTGATATATAACAAGTTTAACTACAAATAATGGGTGTCAAATGTACTAAATGGTTTGAATCATATTTATGTAATAGACAACAAAAAGTTAGTATTAATGGTACTGAATCTGATTTAAGATATATTACATGTGGAGTACCACAAGGGAGTATTTAAGGACCACTATTATTCTTATGTTATGTTAATGACATGTCTATAAGTATAAGTAAAGACTGCAAAATTTTATTATATGCTGATGATAGTACCATACTATACTCTCATAAGAACCCAGAAGTTATATCTGAGAAACTGGGTAAGGAACTTGAATCTTGCAGCAAATGGCTGATCGATAATAAATTATCACTTCAT